CATGTATGTACTTTCAGCAACAGTTATTAGTCATAAATGTTTTTGAAACAATTTCTTTTTAAAAAAAACAACTGAACTACAAAATTGACCAAAACAAATGAAAATCAACTACACTACTCAAAACCTAGTTTATGAAAGGTGTTCTTGTTGAGTCCATTTATCGGGAGCAAACTGCACAGGTAATGGCCAGATTGTTCCTGTAGCGACCGCATGGAATGCTGTTTGCACGACAGATAACTCGCATAAAGTACAAGAGGATTCCATTTTGATTTCCTTGAGAACCGGCAACAGCATCAGCATTAACATCAACGCAGACTGGATCGACTTGTTGAGCATGATTGAAATAACTTGACATCATGTATCCAAAGTATTCTCTGGTCCATCCACGAGGACAGGTTGGTTTGGCCGGTATCGTGATTGTAGTCGTCCTCCTTATAGCACGGCAAACAGCACATGGTACAGCGAAATCATGTACTTTTTTTGCAAAGATCCTGTTCGATGATTCATATTCGCTTCCATAAATGTAAGAAGCTGAAACTGGTGGCACAGTGCTCAAGTATGCAGGGTCGTATGGCATGCACATGTACTTAGCCCCATTTCCACGCTGAGTATAGAAACCGCCACCAACTTGTCCTGCATAGACCAGCTGAGCTCCTCTCCTGCAGCTAGCCTTTCCCCATCTTGTGTATGTAGTGCCGGCTCCGCTGGCTCCATTGTAGTAGTTGTCAGGATCGATGACAAGGACAAGCTTCTTGCCACGTGTCAAGTGAACAATAACGTTTTCGGCATTAACGTTATCCCCCTCTTCACTGACTTCTGCAATTAATGAAAAAAGAAATTACATGAATAATAGCATAATAGCTAATGAATGCTATTATATTTACCTTTACTGATGTCCTGCATGTCTGTGTCTGAATGAAGAAACATAAAGAGCAAAAATAAAATCATGATAGTTAAGATGTAAGGTATTATGCACCTTCAAGCTGCATTTCTTCTTGTTCCTTTGTTCCTACTTCGTTTTCCTTCGTTTCTACTTCTTTCTCCCCTTGTGGTGCTAATTCTGCATTATTGAGTTCATCAAACTCTGTTTCTTTGTCTGGAATATCAAATTCAAATGTCATAATACTAGTATAATAGTAAACTTTACCCCATTGTGAGTGGGCCATGCCCAAAACGAGCATAAGAGCAGCAAGAGAAAGGAACACCTTCATTGTTACTCAAGTAACTCAACTAGTCTTCAATACACACAAGCTATAATGCTTAATAACAGCTCAAGCAATGAGAACTAGTTGTGTGAAAGTTGACTCCACTGCTCTCTCTTATATAGTCTCAGACTTCACTGATCTCACTATGCACATATGTAGGCATGGCTTCAATGTACTCCTTGTACTCTGCCCAAATTGAATCTATTTTGCAGGTCTTCAGAGTCACTTAAGTGTAAACCAATAGGCCAGAAGGAAGCTCATAAGGATTTATAATCTCATTAGAGTGCGAGTAGACCACTAATTTTTAATGGACTGAGGTCACACTATATATATGCTAGACAGGATGTCTCGAGGGATATCTATTAGCAAGGGCTCAAAGTCTCTGCAAAGTAAGGGCTCATTTACAACTCTTGCCCAAGGCTAAGTAGTTATATAAAATTAGGAAATAGATGAATTCCTGCATGCATTGCTTTGCTTGTAGCATGCATCAATTGAGCTATGAGTAAATCAATTCATTTTTTAAATAAAAAGATTATTGTTCTGTGTATTCTTTAAGTGTATTTGCTAGCATGCTGCAGCCATTATGCTTTAGGCTAAAACTTTAGCAAGTTGGTTTAGTAAGCTAGTCTTATGGTGGGCTATATAATCTTAAAACTTGACAGTGACAGACAATTCACTTGCTAGTTCAGTTGTGGTTGCATAGCATGCAGAGTCTTGGTAAGCTTATTTTACTCCATAGGTTTGACCATGGATATGGTTTGACCACAAGTTGCAGCCAAATGAGCTAATGCATGCATGTACATGTGCAAATCTTGCATTTTGCATGCATGCATAATAATTATGCAGGAGTTGTAATGGGCGTGGCCTCATTATGGGTGTGTCTGTTCATTCCTGTTAGGCTGTTAATCTGTAAAGAAGAAGCCAAAATGGCCGCTCGGAGGAACCTTCCACCAGTACCAGTCCCCCAGGGCCTACCTCCTGTCCCTCAGTCTCCTCACCCAGCTCTTATTCAAGACGAAAAGATCAACATGGACATATTGATGCCTACTGGCATGCTTATAACCCTCGCCTGCTACAAACAAGCATCTCTATCGGATATAAAGGCTGCCGTGTGGCAAGAGGCCCGTAACCAGCCGTTATTTGAAATGATCAAGGACCAGAGCTTCTACTCCTTCTTTGGTAAGTACTCTGTCATTATTTGTGTGGGTCTGATGCTTTTTAATGTCAGGTATCACTGCTGATGGTAACAAGGAAGAACTGGTTAATGAGTCACACAGTTTGGCTGACATTGATCTGTTTGTTCCGCTTCTGAAGCTGAAAGAGAGAGCAGGAGACATGAAAGAGAAGGTTCAATATAATTATAAAGATACATTATAAACTTGTACATAATATTTTTATCGTATGCACAGTGTACATACATGTACATGTTCTAGCATACTAATCATGATGTTTTGGAAAACTGCTTTATGGTAATTAGTGACTTTTGTGTCTTAAACTGACTAATTTTTAAATGCTAGATGTACATGTACATGTACCTATGTATTGTACACGTACATGTACACATACATTAGGTAGTATAAATCATACTTTAAACTTTGTGACAGTTACTCCTTCATTGCTTGTACATTGTACATGTTGTATGTACATGTTTATTTTATGAATATGTGATCTTAATATATGAGTGTCTTTTAAGGTGCTTTATATTTCATTTAGAAACTCAATGCCGAGATCGGGGCTCTCATCGGTCGTAAACTGGCAGATTTCGACGTGATGGAAGCCGAGGTCCAAGACTGTCGGCGTCACTGGCTGTTCGTGTGTGAGGAGGTTCTTAATTTGCGTCAAATGAATGATGAGACTTTGAGAAGGTATAACTTCTCTGCTCTTACTGTAGGACCAGATGAGCCAAACCTCAGCCAGCAAGCACTGAATGTGAGTTGAGGAGAGAGAAGGGGGAGGGAGAGAGAGAGGAATAAAAAGAGGGCAGAGATAAGATTAATATAGAATCTACAATGTACACATGTACATGTACAGTGTATCAGATTTCAGACTTTTGTATGTTTATGTGTACATGTACTTGTATAAACAGTATTATTATTATTATTATTATTATTTGATAATTTTCTTTCCCAGGGTGAGCTTGAAGTCAGTTTCCTTAATGCCCGTGGTCAGATGTACCCGCTGAAGTTACCCTTTTCCTACGACAGGTCTGCCTCTGACCTCATTAATCTCTCCTTCTCTCAGCCTGAGGTTCGGAAATCCTTCAAGCGCTACCAACCGAAGGACTTTAGTCTTAAAGTCCAAGGATCCGAAGAATATCTATTGGAAAATGTACCACTACAACAATACAAGGTATTTAAGAAATAGTTGTACATGTACATGTACATGGCATATTTTTAATAGTTATCCTAATGTGAAACTGTTGCCATATGCACCCATCTGTAGTACATGTACACGAGTGTATGCATACATTGTCAAGTGTATGTGTGTTTTTCTTTCATTATGTTTGTATAGCCTGATGTTTATGATTATAAGAGGACTCTACACTGTACATGTACAATATGTGAATGTGCATTCAAAACATGACTATATATGGAGTTATCTACATGTATGCATCTTTCTTTTTCCATTTCTCTCTTCCTCCTCTCCCTCTCCCTCTCCCTCCTCTCTCTCTCCCCCTCTCCCCCTTTCCCCCTCTCTCTCCCCCTCTCCCCCTCTCTCTCCCTCCCTCTTTCTCCCTCCCTCTCTCTCTCTCTCTCTCTTTCTCTCTCTCTCTCCCTTTTAGTATGTTCTTCACTGCATTGCACGTCACATTCAGCCAAAATTCTGCCTAATCCCGTATGAAGGAATACTAACAGTTGAAAAGGACGTATTTATTCGTCCTATTCATGCACTTCAATCTGGAAAGGATGCAAAGTAAAATCAATGATACATGTACATGTACATTAATTAAATATTATACAATATATACATGTATATAAATATCATATGTTATTATTTTTTAATTTTATTTGTTTAGGTGGCAGTCGGACTGTGGCCCTTTTAATTTGTCTCGTGGGACAATCGGGAAAGATCAAATGTCTTATATATCAACTTGGAACGTGAGGCAGACCTATAAAATTAAAGTTGTTGGAGCTGCTAATATCAACGTATCTGATACTATGAAAGTGAGTAGCAACAATGAGTGTACATTGTATGCCTGTACAAGTAAATGTACATAAATGCAGATTTTCTTAGCCCAATAATATTTCTGCTAATTTGTGCAAATTTAGAAACTTCAATCCTTGCAATTTTTATTAAGCTATACATGCATGTACATGTACATGTATATATAGCAAGGAAAGGAATTTTACTATTTGCAAGAATTTTGGGCCACAAAAATATGTAGCTATTTCATACCATGTACATGAACATGTATTCATGGTATGGTAATAGTGATACTGTGTTAATTCTTCTCTGTTATTCCTTTTAGGTTTATGTGAGGGCTGGTCTTGGTCACGGCGATCAAACTCTATGTCCTACCACTTCAACTTCAAAGGGAGCATCCCCCGAGAAACCAGAGTGGAACGAGCTCCTTGAGTTTGATGTGCCTATACTTGAAATGCCTCGGAGCGCCAAACTCTGTTTCATAATATATCAGCAGAAACAGCCAGGACGAAAGAGCAAAGAAGTAAAATTTAAATTCAAATAATTCTAGAATTTAAATTTAAATAAAAATTTGAAATGATTTGAATATTCCTTCCCTTTCTTGTCTTGTAGGATGCTCCCTTGGCTTGGGTGAACTTGAATGCGTTTGATTATGATGGTGTCCTTCAGGCTGGCCGCTTTACTCTCAATGCGTGGCCCATCGAAGATGATCATGCCATTCAAGATCAGGTCAACCAATGTACATGTACATTGTAGTATAGTACATATACTAAATTACTAATGTAGATTGTGTGTATGTACATGTACATGTACATGTATAATTATCATTGTGGTATATGCATGTGTATGCAGTAATAATAAATCAATAACTTTTTAATGAAAAAACTTACTATAATAGTATTTGAAGTCACCTGAGTGTGTGTATTAAGTATTGTTTTTATTCTTTATAGTTAAACTATATTGGGTCTACAGTACCTAATGCCCACCTTTCCAAATCCATTCAGTTGACAATTGAGATACCTCACTTCAGCTCAGTTCCTATATTGTTCCCTTCGGCTAGTGAGATACAAGCCTTTGCTGTTGAAATGGCCCAAGGCTCAGTTTCTTCAGTAAGTATTGTAATGTTATGCTACATGTACTGTATTTTACATTCTAGTATTACTGTGCATTATTAATGTATGTGCATGTATTTCTGATGCTTATAACTTGAGAATCTGAAGTTGGAATTGACTCAAACTTTATACACAGCATAAGGACATCAATATGTATTAGAAAATGTAATAAAAAGTGGGGGTGATTTTGGAGCCATTTTTTGGAAAAAACCATGGGCTATAGTACAGGGATTTTTTTAGGATTTCAGTGTTTTCTTAAAATGGCCATAATTCAAAAAATTGAAGTCGGAATCGGTTCAAACTTTCTACATAGCATAAAGGCATCAATATGTACCAGAAAATTAATAAAAATTAGGGGTCATTTTGGAGCCATTTTGTGGAAAAAACCATGGGCTATATAGTACAGGGATTTTTTCAAAGATTGGCCTATTTCTTAAAATGACCATAAGGGCTTGAAATCATTAAAGTCAAGATTTTAGAATAATTCCTTGCTATTTCCATGTACGTGTATATTGATTTTTGAATTTTTCTCTTTGTAGGCTCGTTTTAATAACCAGGAGATCGATGAGCTTCGTCGAATCATAGAACAAGATCCTCTTGACGAATTGGATGAATCTGACAAAGAAATTCTATGGAAAATGAGGTAGGAAACAAACCTATTACAGTATTACTATTACTAAACTAAACTAAACCTATTATTAAACCTGTTGACTATTACAATTTACCTCATTATCATTAACTATAATCATTTTCTATTTCTCTCTCTTTTCCTCTTAGGAACGTGTGCTGTGACAGACACCCTGAAGCTCTGCCTAAGTTATTGCAGTCAGTCACCTGGAGCAATCGGAGTGATGTAGCACAGGTAATTATAATCATTATTATTATTATTATTATTATTATTATTATTATTATTATTATTATTGTTGTTATTATTATTATTATTGACATTATTATTGTTATTATTGTTATTGTTGTTGTTATTGTTGTTGTTGTTGTTGTTATTGTTGTTGTTGCTGTTGTTGTTGTTAGGTATATTTGTTGCTGGAGAGGTGGTCTCGTCTCAACCCAGAGCAGGCTATGGAGCTCCTTCATTTCCAGTATGCTGATTTAGCAGTGAGACAGTATGCTGTAACCTGCTTGGAATCATTGAGGTACCTATACACTACACACACTCACTCATTACCTCCAGTACATGTGCATGTATACAGTACATGTACATGTAAATGCATGTACATATACATGTATACAGTATATGTATCTCTTTAGTGCATGTACATATGTACATGTACATATATACATGCATCACTGTACTGTATAGCAGGTATAGTATTCATACATACATGTACATGTATGTATTTTGTTGAATGCATTGAAAATTTAATATGTATGTAGTGCATGTACATGTACATTATAAAGACCTATAGTGTTCTGTATGTTGTATATTTTTAAAAATATTTTTAAAAATTACTTGTTTCTTTTATTTCTAGTGATAATAAGCTACTCATGTATTTGCTCCAGCTGGTTCAAGCTCTTAAATTTGAGCCGTATCTTGACTGCCCCCTGGCAGAGTTTCTCCTGAAGAAAGCTCTTAGCAATAAATCAATTGGACACTATCTTTTCTGGTATCTCAGGTAAGAGGGTGTTACACTATAAGTATTTGCTAGTATTTTATTGTTAATTTTAAGTATTTTTATTATAATTTTGTTGCTGCACTTCTATTTTTAAAATTTTTTATTAAATTTAATAAAAAACTGCATGATTTTTTTAATTCTTAATAAGGAATATGCAATTTTTATTATATTTTATTTTTTAATTTTATTCTTAGAGCTGAAATGCATCTACCTATTGTGTCAGTACGTTATGGTCTCATTCTTGAGGCTTATTGTAGGGGGTGTGGCCGCTACAGAGAGTCATTAGCCAAGCAGGTACGTGTATAAACATAATTTGTTGTTGTTATTATTATTATTATTATTATTATTATTATTATTATTATTATTATTATTATTATATATTTTTTATTGTACTAGGTTGATGCTCTTGGTAAGTGGAAGCAGGTGACTGGTGAGCTCCAGAAGGTGCAGAAAGCGAAAAAGTCTAAGGCTGTGGACGAGAGAGATTTCTTGAGGACTCCTCATCTTCTGAAGGCAATGGAAGACCTTCGGTCTCCGCTAAATCCAGCCTTGATGCTTAAAAACCTCCTGTAAGTTTTAAGTAATAATAATTTATAAAAAATGCCTGTGGCAGCAATTTTCAAGCTTTTTCTGATGCATGTACTTGTACTTATGTTGTGTAGAAAGTTTGAGCTGATTCTCACCCACCCTCAATTTTTTATCACATTTCTTTCTCTATTAATTGCAGTCCAGATAAATGTAAAGTGATGGACAGCAAGATGAGGCCCCTTTGGCTATCATTCGTCAACATGGATCCACTCGGCGGTACTGTACTACAGATATTCAAGAACGGAGATGGTGCGTACATGTACATGTATATTCAATTTTTATTATTTTTACTATTTTTAGATCTAAGGCAAGACATGCTGACCCTACAAGTTATGAACATTATGGACAACGTCTGGCGTGAGGCCGGCCTAGATTTAAGGTACAATGTTACTAAATATAGCAAATACACCACTGCCGTCACTAAATTTAGTGCATGTTACTAAAAATAGCAACTCTCACAATGATGAGACCTTTAGAAATATATGATGTAATGATGCCGTTACTAAATTTAGGACACGTTACTATAAATAGCTACTTGTTAATGGGACATTTATACTATCATTCTTTTGTTTCTATATATAGAATGAATCCTTATGCTTGTTTGTCGATGGGTGACCAGGTTGGTCTGATTGAGGTGGTGTTGGACTCCACAACTATAGCTAAGATACAGAAGCAGCAGAGTGGAGCAAGAGGAGCCTTTGATAAAAAGTTGCTGTACTCCTGGTTGAAGAGTAAGAATAAATCTCAAGCAGAGTAAGTCATGAAGATATACCCGTACAGTTAATTAATGTAATACATGTACATACATGTATATTGAAAGCTGTGTTTACACGTACATGTAAAATGCATGTATTATTATCAAGACTTGTTATACTTTTTTCCTATTTTATTTTTCATTTTCCTCAGATTAAATAAAGCAGTTGATAACTTCACATTGTCATGTGCTGGTAGCTGCGTAGCCACTTATGTACTTGGTATAGGGGATAGGCACTCAGACAATATAATGCTCAAATCTAATGGACAAGTAAGCACATAATGATTGATAATAATAATAATAATAATAATAATAATAATATTGCTATCAGTGTTATGATATCTGTGATGCTATTATTATTGTTGTTGTTGTTGTTGTTGTTGTCATTGTTATTATTTTTTTGCTTTTTAGTTGGTTCATATTGATTTTGGTCACTTCCTTGGTAACTTTAAGAGCAAGTTTGGCGTGAAACGTGAGAGAGTGCCCTTTGTCCTTACTGACGATTTTATTCACATCATTACCAGAGAAGAAGGGAAGACATCATTTGAGTTTGTCAAGTGAGTAACAGAGAGAGAGAGAGAGAGAGAGAAAAGGCAACAAGAAAGATAGAAAAGAAAAAGTATTATAAATCAAGTTATAGTTATGTGCTCACAACTAGCTATGTACAAAAAACAGTACAGGGCTTTACCTCTTTATGTTGCATTACAGGTTTAAGAACCTTTGCGAGAAGGCTTTTATGCTCTTACGTCAGAAAGGAGATCTCTTCATCACACTCTTCACTATGATGCTCTCCACTGGTATTCCTGAACTTAGGACGATCGATGACATTCGCTACATCAGCAATGCTCTTTGTCTTTCTAAAAATGATGACCAGGCAAAGGAGGATTTCCGTAAGAAGTTGGCAGAGGCTGTCAAGCATTCTTGGAGTGTCAGTATTAACTGGTATTTCCATAATGTGGCACGTACTGGGAATTAAACTCAAATTTACTCAAATTTATTTGTTATTTTCTCAATTGTTTTTTTAACATTTTATTTTTTGTAGCTCCCCACTTATACAATGACTAGTTGTTTGTTTTTATACCCAATATTATTGTTGTTTTGATTTTATTTAATTTTGTAATAAACAATGCGTGTTTATAATAATGATAAATAATTATTATTATCACTCTTAATGACCCTCGCCCACGCGTAGGCATTGCGCATGCGCACAACTGCAATAATCACGTGTTTGAAATCCAGTGAAACTATGACGTCAATATGTAGCCAAGGTGTCTCTTAGCAACTGTTTGACGTCATTTAGACTGACCAATGAGATTCGTCCGCGAAGGTCCCTTCCCGGGAAAACCCAAAGGCTATATAACAAGCTGCCCCTAGATTCTAGCTCATTTCTGCCATTTTCTCTGGCACCAAAGGATCAGTCTTCAAGGGTCTGTGTCTCTGCTACAGTTAGTCATGGCCATCTGTCTCTTCTTCCTCTCTCTCCCCTCACTCTCTCTCTCTCTCTTTCTTTTCTCTCTCTTTTTTAATTCCTCACTCATTTATATTCTCTTTATCTTACAGGTTGGCAGCAGTTGGCCCGTTTTTCAGTTTCTAAAAGGTCAAGGCGGGTTGTGACCTCTCCCTTCAATGGCTGCTACACCTGTTCATGGTTAGTAGTCTCTCTTATCCCTCTCTTTCTCTCTCCTCTTCTTTATCTTTACTTTCCTTTTTATAATTTTGTCTTTTGTCACTTATTTTTCTTTCCCGTACAGGTAAGCAGTCTTGGCCCTCATGCACACCCACCCCCTGGGAAACCAGAATGCTAAACTAGTGGATTTATTGGACGTTCTTCGTTTCTCTTCCCCATGTGCTCCGTTAAATTTCCCGCCATTTTGTGAGGCCACGCCCACCAAAAAGAGGCACAAACGGGCAAGACTGATCGATGGAACAAGAAAGAAAGAATGGATGTGATATCAAGTGAGGATTTTATTTTTGCTAGAGCCATGTATCTCTGTTGTAGACACTTGTCTGCATAGCCTCTTGTTTGCTTGTTGTTACTTGTTTTGATAGTGTACTGTAGCCTGTTGCTGTATATTGTACTGTACTGTAGCCTATTGTCTGTATACTGTACTGTACTGTAGCCTATTGTCTGTATACTGTACTGTACTGTAGCCTGTTGCTGTATACTGTACTGTACTGTAGCCTATTGTCTGTATACTGTACTGTACTCTAGCCTATTGTCTGTATACTGTACTGTACTGTAGCCTATTGTCTGTATACTGTACTGTACTGTAGCCTGTTGCTGTATGCTGTACTGTACTGTAGCCTATTGTCTGTATACTGTACTGTACTGTAGCCTATTGTCTGTATACTGTACTGTACTGTAGCCTATTGTCTGTATACTGTACTGTACTGTAGCCTCTTGTCTATACTGTACTGTACTGTAGCCTATTGTCTGTATACTGTACTGTACTGTAGCCTATTGTCTGTATACTGTACTGTACTGTAGCCTATTGTTTGTATACTGTACTGTACTGTAGCCTATTGTCTGTATACTGTACTGTACTGTAGCCTATTGTCTGTATACTGTACTGTACTGTAGCCTATTGTCTGTATACTGTACTGTACTGTAGCCTATTGTCTGTATACTGTACTGTACTGTAGCCTCTTGTCTATACTGTACTACTTTACTGTACTCTAGCATGTATACTGTAGTGTGTGTACTGTACTGTCATATTCACTTCTTTTTTATTCCATTTTAGGAGTCAAGCTGTGTCCGGTTTCCATGGGAGTGTCTCTCTGTGGAGCTGGACATGTGTTATGAGGACGATCTTAGAGTCATTGGTATGGGATTCTCATGGATCAATCAGTGAGTCAATAATTGTAATACTAGCTGGGCTGGCCAACCAGACCTGGCTAGTAGCGCACACATACAATCCTTGCATGTCAATATATGTATGTCCCATTTGCATGCGTATAATAAACACAAAAGGTCGTGTATGTTATAACATACAGAACCCTGCAGTTTCTGTCCTTTTTGTAAGGAATAGTGTTTGTCTATTTTTATACTTATTGCTACATCTCTCTCTCTCTCTTCTATAAGCTTCATTTTGTCCTGTTTGCCCTTGTCTCTCTTCTCCTGTTGGTTGCTGTTTCGATGACTGAATGCTACGGTATCTGCTGGTTTCTCTGAACTTAATGCTGCCCTCAGCTCTCAATTGTTTTGCAGTATGTCCTCTGGCCCCTGTACAGCACCTTTGGATTATATGGATACCAGCTAAGTAATAAATCAGGAGCCCAACCTTTTTCATGGGCTCCTGAATAGTTGTACTATGCATCATACATCCCTTTGCATGTGTACATGTAGTCCCTTTTTTTCAAATAAAATTAGAGAGTTTGAGAGTCCATCTTAATTATACATTGTATTATACAGGTGAGTGGTGACCCTTTACATTAGCTACTACACAGTAATATTGTACCATTCCTATACCTGTCATTGCTTGATGCTTCTTCCTTTAGCTTAGGTTCGTCTCTACTTACTGATTCGACAAACGTTCGATCAGGAAGTAACCAAATAATGCATTGTTTTATAATGTGTATTTTGTGTATCAAGCAATGACATATGTCTTCATATGTAGCATTTCAAGAGTTGGAACTGTTTACCCGAAAACAGCATACCCTCTTGTTTGCTATAGGTGGGAATGGATAGTCAGAAATTTTTCTTTTCGTTCGAGGATTAAAAATAGGCCTCATTTTTGAATTAGAAGATTGATAGCCTAAAACTGCAATTTCTTCTTTTTACTCTTCTGTTATCATTATGGACAACAGGTTATTTTATCCTCTTTTGTGTGTCAATTTTACTTTATTTTCGTTTCTACCTTTAGTTTCACTTGCCTCTGGCAGCTAGAGAGGATACTGGATGACTTTACAATTGATTCTAATTGCTCTCTGCTTCAAGTGCTTCTTGTGAGGTCTTTGATATCTTCATGGAAGTCCAACCCAATCGAAGTACTGAGGTTGTCTAAGTCTAATGGTCTGGGCAAGTTATTGCTGGATTATTGTAATGCTATTATTATTAATGCTAGCAGGGACTGGCCAACCAGGCCTCGTCTTATGCATGTTCTCATATATATGAAGACTAGTTGACTCCAGCAGATATTGTACTGCTTATCAGAACAAACAAAACCCATTTAAGAGTGAAATACAGGTGTTGGCCATGCTTCTATGAATATCATTATAATATGTATACCTACATTTTTCAAATTCCAAGCGGCTGGTGTCAAACTCAGTTGGGATATAGTATAGGTGACCCAATTTATGCACGTTCCTCATATAGGTGACATGATTCATTCATGTTCCTATTCCTATTTTATGACACGTTTTGTTAGATTTTAACAGTCCTAAACATGACACTAAACTGTTTCTAAGTTTAGCTAATAATATCCTATTACATATGTAAATCTATGATATTTTTTTAGCATCATAGATTTACATGCACATATGTAACAGGGTATTGATTTTATTGCGTTTTAGTATACCACGTAGCGTAGTTACGTAGCGTAAATTGTAACGTCTTGCAGTCTCCACTTTCACTTTCTTTCAACCATGTTCATCATCATTGGATCATTTCATCTGCTGTTCGTTCAAAATATGCAAGAAGACTTCGATCAATCATGACTGTGATCTTGTGAGAGCGTATCAATCAAGAACAGATTTACTGTTAGCTAATTGAAGAGGCGATCACTGTGAAAGGACTTCCAACTATTTTCATAGCATTGAGGCTCAAGCTGTCACTATACTCTACACTTCTATCAGTTTACAGTTGGATCATTCCTTTTAGCCGGGTCATGGTGGGTAAATTGGTGAGGTTTGTGATGCAGGTAGCCTGATGGACCTGGGCACTAGCTTCCTAATTCTCATTCTGATTTCTTTCTCGATCCCGTGGCTTTGACTGAAGATCATTTTTAAAGTGTTTGCCACAGCTTAAAAATAAGTCAATAGTTCTCATTGTAGGTTTATGATCAAACGTAATGTCAAATTAGCGTGTGTGTGATCTGACATTTTGATGCCAATAGCGCTTTAAAATTGACACGAAATTAGCGAAATTTTAATTCTACATTAATTGCGTTTCATGGCGAGAGTGTATTGTCATGTTCCTCATATAAGGGACCCAATTCATACATGTTCCTCATGTAAGGGACGCAGTTTATACATATCCCTCATACAGGTGACCCAATTCATACATGTTCCTATTCCTATTTTATGACACGTTTTGTTAGATTTTAACAGTCCTAAACATGACACTAAACTGTTTCTAAGTTTAGCTAATAATATCCTATTACATATGTAAATCTATGATGTTTTTTTAGCATCATAGATTTACATGCACATATGTAACAGGGTATTAATTTTATTGCATTTTGGTATACCACGTAGCGTAGTTATGTAGCGTAAATTGTAACGTCTTGCGGTCTCCACTTTCACTTTCTTTCAACCATGTTCATCATCATTGGATCATTTCATCTGCTGTTCGTTCAAAATATGCAAGAAGACTTCGATCAATCATGACTGTGATCTTGTGAGAGCGTATCAATCAAGAACAGATTTACTGTTAGCTAATTGAGGAGGCGATCACTGTGAAAGTATTTCCCACTATTTTCATAGCATTGGGGCTCAAGCTGTCACTACTCTACACTTCTATCAGTTTACAATTGGATCATTCCTTTTCGCCGGGTCATGATGGGTAGATTGGTGAGGTTTGTGATGCAGGTAGCCTGATGGACCTGGGCACGAGCTTCCTAATTCTTATTCTGATCTCTTTCTCGATCCCGTGGCAATGACTGAAGATCAGTTGTTTAAGTGTTTGCCTCAGCTTTCAAAATAAGTCAATAGTTCTCATTGTAGGTTTATGATCAACGTAATGTCAAATTAGCGTGTGTGTGATCTGACATTTTGATGCCAATAGCGCTTTAAAATTGACACAAAATTAGCGAAATTTTAATTCTACATTAATTGCGTTTTATGGTGAGAGTGTATTGTCATGTTCCTCATGTAAGGGACCCAATTTATACGCGTTCCTCATATAGGGGACTCAATTCATACATGTTCCTCTTATAGGGGACTCAATTCATATGCGTTCCTCATATAGAGAACTCAATTCATATGCGTTCCTCATATAGGGGACTCAATTCATATGCGTTCCTCATATAGGGAACCCAATTCATACGCGTTCCTCATATAGGGGACTCAATTCATATGCGTTCCTCATATAGGGGACTCAATTCATACGCGTTCCTCATTTAGGGAACCCAACTCATACGCGTTCCTCATATAGGGGACTCAATTCATATGCGTTCCTCATATAGGGGAGTACTCCATTCATACGCGTTCCTCATATAGGGAACCCAACTCATACGCGTTCCTCATATAGGGGACTCAATTCATACATGTTCCTCTTATAGGGGACTCAATTCATACGCGTTCCTCATATAAAGAACTCAATTCATATGCGTTCCTCATATAGGGGACTCAATTCATACGCGTTCCTCATATAGGGAACCCAATTCATACGCGTTCCTCATATAGGGGACTCAATTCATACGCGTTCCTCATATAGGGGACTCAATTCATACGCGTTCCTCATATAGGGAACCCAATTCATACGCGTTCCTCATATAGGGGACTCAATTCATACGCGTTCCTCATATAGAGAACTCAATTCATACACGTTCCTCATATAGGGGACTCAATTCATACACGTTCCTCATATAGGGGACTCAATACATACGCGTTCCTCATATAGGGAACCCAATTCATACGCGTTCCTCATATAGGGGACTCAATTCATACGCGTTCCTCATATAGGGGACTCAATTCACACGCGTTCCTCATATAGGGGACTCAATTCACACGTGTTCCTCATATAGGGGACCCAATTCATACGTGTTCCTCATATAGGGGACCCAATTCATGCGTGTTCCTCATATAGGGGACTCAATTCATATGCGTTCCTCATATAGGGGACCCAATTCATGCGTGTTCCTCAAATAGGGGACCCAATTTATGCATGTTTCTCATATAGGGGACTCAATTCATGCGTGTTTCTCATACTGGGGACCCAATTCATACATGTTTCTCATACAGGTAGCCCAATTTATGTTCCCCTAATATAATGAGTGCACTCATAAAGTGGCCCATACATACCCATATATACATCATTAGTTTATACCATAAGTACGTATTTATGGTTATGTATTTTGGTGAAGCGTATGTTATGTTTTGTTTCCAGCATCTAAATGTAAAATGTTCCTGCTCTTTCTTGTTGGATTACGGTAACCAAAAATAGATTCTATTACCTCATAAATTACTGCTTTCTTTTTTTAGGGTGGGCAGCAGTATAGCGCTACCTCCTCGTGGTGCTGCCTGGGGTCACTAGCATGTATTGTATAGGTACTGCTAGTGATGCTAAAAGCGCTATAAGAAGGCAAGAGAGCTGGAACGAGCTCAAGGTATTTCTTATTTTATTATTTATTTTATAATAATTATCTGTACACTTCCAGAGATTGTCACAGTGACTGATATTACAACTATTATACTTAAGTGTAGTGATGATGCTAAGAGAACTACAAGGCTATAGCAAGATTATATGCTACCAGTATAATTACACCAATTTATAAGGAATAATATAATTATTTCATATAGGTCTTAGTCCAACATAAAGATAAAATGTGAAGCAAAAGAAGGATTATTAAAGACACAGACATTAAAACTTCCTTTCCTTTCCCTCTCTTACTATAGCTCATTGGACATTAATTTATTTTGCTTGTTTAAAAACATTTTTCATTACTTTGTAATGGTGATTTTAAATGCAGCGAGTAACCATCATGGCCTAATTTAGCTGTTGAAGCTAATGCCAGTGAAATACAAATCACATACATACACCACTTCCTTTTATGAATGTGTGCATGTGTATACATGCATGTGCTGTTAAGAGTTTGAGCTGATTCATATCAGATATACATGTGCTGTTAAGAGTTTGAGCTGATTCACATCAGTAGTCTTTAACTACATTCATATACTCCTCAACCAGTTATGATTATTGTTAAAACTGCTCTCCTTATACACAAACACAAAGATGGCTGTCCTCATACTAGCATTAGTTCTTTGTGTCCTCTCCCTAACCACGTCCTCAAGCCAAGAGAAGAATACCACGATACCCATTGCCCCACTCGTATGTATCCCACCTTGCTCTACCGGTGACATCATATGTACATGGGACTATGGTGGCAATGGGTTCAATGGCAGCGAAGACTGTCAAAGGAAGTGTGGTTCACCAGTGGGTACTAACGAAGCATGCAAGTACTCATCCAACAAGACTTGCTGGTGGGGTTGGACCAAGAGTGCTGGCTGGGCCTGTTTCTCTGGCCCTCCTCCTTGCGAGGATGATGGAGGCGTCATACTGAGTGCTTATTTGACTTGTGTTCAGCTCCAGAGAGGCTATGGTGGTTGTATCAAAGCAGCAGACTGCACGAACTGCTGCAGTAAGCAATGCCACTGTAAGGATCTTATGGAGGACAAGTCAGAGTGTCTCTGTGGTAAAGGTTAACACTATACATTACCTATTATATTTGTGGTGCTTTTTTGTTTCTCTTGATTTTGGTTTTTTAAAATGAATTTTATTGCTCAAAATCCAAGCTGTAGCACTGACGAGGTGTGAGCAACTATTTTCTGCTTGAGTAGCATTATATAGAGCATTATATAGCATTATATAGAAGCATTAGGATATATAACCAATGGTCCAATACTACTTTTAACAAACAATTGACAATAAAACACATCAACAAAAATAACAATTTATGTTATCATATAAAGGGCAATGGTTTAAAATAAACAAGGATAAACCGGTACATTAAAAAATAATAAAACTCTTTTTATTGTCATAATATAGCAGCAAGAAATAAAAATTCAGTCAGCATAAGTTGGAGCTCCACAGAAGCACTTCTTTGGCATGTAGGCAGCCATGCAGACTCCCTCCCAGCGATAATCGTTCTGCTTCGCCCAAGAAGGCTCCGGACGTATTTCAATCAATCTCTTCTCATCTCGAGCCTTGAGAGCCGGATTTGCATAATATTTATTGAACAATCTTATACTGATGCGTGCATCATGTTCAGGATCATGCTGGGAGCCTATAGTGCCTGCATTAGTTAAGAATAATTATGATAATTGTATAAAATGCTTACTTCACAGTACACACATATAAGGCTTGATGTGCAAAAAATTAACACTACTTCTACAATGCCTAGTTGCAATTGACCAATCAGATTGCTTGATTTTAGGTTCATACATAACTTATTTACCACTGGGAGGTATAATAATTAATTTCCTGGGCAATAGGAGGTTGATAAGTAAGTTCCAGGACAGTCTGAGGTTGATAAGTGGCCCGGGAGGTTAACTTAATAAGTGTAACCAGGAAATTACTTATTAACCTCCTACTAAAATAGGCATGCTGTTGCAAAGTGTTGCTAAGTAAACTAGTTGTTTATTTTAGTATATGGTAGGAGCTGGTTATACAACTCTGTGCCGGTATCTATGGCCTTATTATACTCCCGCCCTCAGTATGATAAATGCCATAGCTACCTCACCTCATTGTATAACCTATACAAACATACATTGTGTCCTTTGGTGCAAGTAACTGCTTACAAAAGAGATACTATTATAGTCAATGCTTACCTGGTCCAAGGAGGACATTAGCTTCATGTTGCAAGGAGAAATGCGAATAATTGTTATAGCGAGGATTGTACACTTTGAAGAAGTCACCAAGATCGACAGACGACTTGAAATCAATTCCTTGCTGGAGATGAAGCCAGCCTATATCAGACTTGACTCCCTGACCAACAAGAACAACATTAGGCCCTAGGAACCTCTTGATGTCCCTTATAACAGTATCCAAACTCTTCCCATTATCAAGATCACCTCTACGCAGCCCAGTCAGTGGGGTCAGGTAGGACATTATGGGCTTGTCAACTCTCACTTTCTCCTTGTACAGACATCTTTCATTCTGATCTACCAGTGCCACAAACGCAACGGATCGATCATCGTGTCTCCTACCAGTTGCCACACACTCTACATCAACACTGTAGTATTCTCTTGGTAAAGCCATCACAATGAGCTCTTGGTAAAAGAGGCTCTCTCTTTCTCTCTATTTATAGCTTTTGAAACTGAATTTCACATGAAAAGACAGTTAATGATATTCATGCATGCAATGAATACGATAATACTTCATCGAGGAATGGCATCAGAGGATATTCATTATTCCTGGTAATATACTTCATCACAAGTTTTAAGACTAAGTGGCTTTTTCCAGCGAGCCTCTCTCATGACAGGTAAAAGTTATAATAAATATCAATGACACGGCAAGTGCATAATCATGCTTTCTAGTTTATGAGCATTTACGCAAGAAATTAACTGCAGCATCACACTTCAAGTTAATGATCAGTTCACAGTAAAACCTCTTACACTCTTAACAATAACTGATAGTAGAAATAGCACTGTCCTACATATACTATTATTCATAATAATGATGATAAATGTATAATTCATAATGATTCAGATTTCTGATGGAGGCTGCTAGCATTATAGCACGGACTTGAGCAAAATATAGAATATTTTATCAAAAAAGTTTAGGAAAAATAGCACAATTCTGTCTGTGTATCACCATAATAAAGTCAATTTAACAACAAAAAGCACCAAAATAATTTTATATCAAATTAGCGTTGTGTTTAGAGACGCACTGTTACTGAGGAGCGTAGAGTCCTTCAATGGTTTCGGCGTATTTCTTGACAATGTGAAATCGTCTAACCTTTTGGGTCGGCCCTAAACAACAATAGAACAAGGAACACAATATAAATGAGTCTCTCTTCAATATAGACTATAGTTTGGCCCCTTTAGTAGACTTATCATCAAGAATGTTTTTAAAGGCCACCATACACGGGGCAACATTGTTGCTTGAAACTTTGTGGTTACTTTGATCTTTGTTGCCTCAAGTTGAGCAGTGGTCAACTTGAGACAACAAGATCAAAGTAACCACAAAGTTGCAAGCAACAATGTTGCCCCATGTATGGTGGCCTTTATACATAAGATTATATCAACTCTTAATTATTCAAGATTTAGAAGATGCTACAATTATAGGCACAACATTAATTAGCCGTAAATACTTCTACTACTTGTAACTGCACGTCCCTATTTCCTGTTATATTATAATATCACTATTGATGTATTAATTAATTCTTTATTAAATATTAAAGTCTACTGGATATATTAGCCAGTTGCAAAGGGAAGAAAGGGTAAATGTACATAGTTGGCTGCTATTCTGAGAAGTGTGTACATGTACATGTATACAGGAAGCATATTCTATGGCACTTGAATTGCTTGTTATTCCTGAGTAAAGAGACTATACTACACACACACACAAATAGTATACTAGTGACATACATGTAGGTCAAAGTTTATTTTATTTCTCCAAATCCCATTAAGCCATAAAGGTGGGTTCTCAATATGATGCATTGCTTTTCATGCGCTAGCGTCATGACCGGAAGTGCTGTATAAACCAATGGGAGTATTCGTCAATGCATCAGAATAGAAATGTTTTCTAATCTGACGCATTAACACATGTTCCCATTGGTTATACAGCACTTCTGGTTGTGACGGACGCACATGCGTCATATTGAGAATCCACCTTAAGTAAGAATGCTCAGAAAGATGGCAGGTTTTTTAAATACTAAAATTTGTCTTACGATGATTGACTGACACGATGCTTCAATAAACTTACCAAGTTCTCCGCCACTCTCAGAGAAATCAGAAGCAAGCAAGGTCCACTTCTTAACCTAGTTTAAAAAGATAAGGATATGCATTCAATAATTATTTTTAAAATAATTCAGCCATGTTTAATAGTACAAATAAGATCAAATGGATGCATAAAATCAGTATTATGTACTCTTGATACAATCAATAGCAACTCACAGTGGCAGCATTAGAGACAGCTTTAGCATTAGCTCTATCAATGCCCTCTTGTATGGCAGTGAACACAGCAGTGTCTTGATTATCTATGATCTGTGAGACTTTAGTAGCAGTAGAGCCTTTGGCAGCAATAAGCCGAGCAGCATCAGCTGTGAGGTTGTCAGTTGGCTCAGCTGTTTCTGGGTCAATGTCAACCTTTGAGAAAAGAAAAGTGATACTAATAGTAATATTTTCTTAATTTTTTGAGTATTTTATCTCTCTAAAAGTGTATGCTTTTCCAAAATGATAAGTGTTTTTCTAAAATCAACTATGATAACTATCATAACATTACACATGTGATTTATAGTAAAGGACTACAGGTATAATAATATAATAATAATAATCATAGATATGCTTTTATTTTGCTGTACAAAATGATGAGAGTTGTTCTAAAATTAGCTAATACACTTATAAAATACTGTATAAGTGGTTTTTTCAAGGGAATTATCTTTCGCAAAATCTACTAAAATTCCAATTCGTGGATTTTAATTTCGCAAGTTCTAGCACATGTGCCATGCGGGTACCATATTAAATTGATTTTTGCGGATTTTACTTTTGCAAATCAGGTAGGAATCTGCAAAATTCGCAACCCTCAAAAAAACTACTTATACGCTAATTATCATAACATTACACATGTAGATGTACCTTGAGCGTTAGCAGACATGTGAGGAAGTTCCTCTGGTCTCCGATAAGCATAGCATTGCTAATGAATGGGAGCTCACTCTTAATAGCGTCCTCAACAGGTACTGGGGCAACATTTTCTCCACCACTAGTAATGATTAGCTCTTGTAATAGAAAATAAATATAATTTTTTTTGATTAAAAAAAAGAAGTAATTTTTGTACCTTTTTTTCTGCCTGTGATCACAATAAAACCATCCTGCATACAAAATTTAGAATAACAAAATATATATTTTTAATAATAATACAAATTTTTATATTACAATATAATCACGTTATTACCTTGTCCTTAACGGCCAGGTCTCCAGAGTGCAGCCACCCATCAGGATCAAGAGTCTCTTTCGTCTTCTCTTCATTCTTATAATACCCCATCATCACATTCCGGCCACGATAACAAAGCTACATATAAAACGACAACAACAACAACAACAATAATAATTTATAATAAATAATATTTGCAACATAAATGACATATAATTATTAAATGTACTACATCATACACATAATATAGTGAATCTGCACAGGTCATTTAGTACAATCCCTCATTAGCAATGTACATACATGAACATGAAATACATGCATATACATCATAGGGGTAGGAACAGGGGGGGCAGGAGGGGCTTAAGCCCCCCCAACTTTCATTGAAGGGGGGCTTAGCCCTCCAACTTTAAGTGATGTACATGTATTACTATTATCAACACTATAGACTTTTGTTTAGGTAATCCTTATATGTGCATATTGTGTGATGATTCGTTTCATAAAACAATTAATACACTAGCTTAACTTCTAAGAACACACTTTTATTAGTTATTTCAGAAATACACAAGCTTCTACTTCTTTATTTAACAACACTGTTAACATCAGCTTCAGCTAAGCATAGACTTTCGACGTTAAGGAGATTAAAAACTACTTGCGCTCCACAATGTCACAAGAGCGTCTTAATCATGTAGTTATTTTGCATACACACAAAGAATTTACAGACGATTTACACATCGAGGACATTGCAAAGGAATTTGTTACATTTAATGAGCATAGACGCCAATATTTTGGACAATATTAATTTCAGTACATGCTATGTATTAATGATCAATTGTAAAAATAATACCTTAGCCCCCCCAACTTTTAGTTTGTTCCTACCCCTATGATATACATGTACATACAATGTATGTGTACATGTATATGTACATGTACATTGTTACCTCTCCTTCTCCTTTGTCATTTGGTTCATGAAGCATTACTTCAATCCCTTCCAACGGCTTGCCAGAAGTACCTGATTTCCAGCTGTTATGCTCAATGACGTTAGCTGTGACTGCACCACAACCTTCACTCATACCTTCATCAAATTAAATTAATAATAATTAATTATAATAAAATAATAATTACCGTATATTTCAAGGAGAGGCATGTTGAGACTCATGAAAAAATCAAGTACCTCCCGGCGGATTGGAGCAGCTGTTGTTACAAACATTTTAGTCTCTGATAAACCTAGCGCCTCTTTCACCTATAATAATAATAATAATAGTAAGGCATAATTTTAAAATTTTCAGTTAGAATCTGCTCAAACTTTCTACAGAGCATAAGGGCATCAATATGTATCAGAAAATATAATAAAAATTGGGGGTGATTTCAGAGCCATTTTTAATAAAAAAAACCATGGGCTATATAGTACAGGGATTTTTTCAGATTTTGGCCTGTTTTTTTTAAATGGTTATAACTTGAAAAATTGAAGTCGGAATCAGCTCAAACTTTCTACAGAGCATAAGTACATCAATATGTATCAGAAAATACAATAAAAATTGGGGGTGATTTCGGAGCCATTTTTAGGAAAAAACCATGGGTTATAGTACAGGGATTTTTTCAGATTTTGGCCCGTTTTTAAAATGGCCATAACTTGAAAAATTGAAGTCGGAATCGGCTCAAACTTTCTACACAGCATAAGGACATCAATATGCATCAGAAAATGTAATAAAAATTGGATGTCATTTCAGAGTCATTTTTTGGAAAAACCATGGGCTATAGTACAGAGGAATTTTCAAAAATGGCCTATTTCTTAAAATGGCCATAACTCAATAAAATGAAGTCGGAATTGACTCAAGCTTTCTACAAAGCATAAGGATATCAATATGTATCAGAAAATGTACTGTAGATCTTGACAAATAAACTATACAGTTTAAATAGCTAAACACATGTACATGTATATATAGATACAAAAGAGCTTACTTTCTTAAAGACAAGCATTCCAGCCACAGTCCAGCCCCATGGTACAGAGCCACTGCAATTATAAAGAACAATAAATAAATTCTATAAATATTATTATACTAATACATGCATGCAAGAGTGGATAATTATTTAGGGAGAGTGTCTAACCTGCCTATGTACTGTGATACCACAGCGCATATGTTTACATCCGTTTTTTGCAAGTATACAGAGATAATCCCAGTAATCTTCAAAATTATGGGTGTGGTTAATAAAATGGCGCTTGAAGCATGCAGGCAACTTGTAAGACTTATATCTCCACTCTGAGGATCATGTAGTGCGAGAAACAAGCAGGAGCAGACAGGAATATGTTCTTCTAATGGTTGGCTATTTCTTTTTTTGCAGCTTTTTGACTTGGAATGAATATAAGGATGCAAGAATGGCTACTTGGTGCTAAGCACCATGCTATGTAAACATACGCGCTGTGGTATCACAGATTATAGGCGTGTTAGACACTCTCCCTAAATAATTATCCACTCTTGATGCATGTATATGTACATAAATCTATAATTATACTAATACAAGTACATGAATATCATTTACTTGTTTTGTATGTTGGTGTTCCCTTCCAGTCCAATCCCCTTGGCCCAGTTGGATATCTTGCTCTTAAGGCTCCCAGAAGGAGGAGACACGTTCTTAATGGCCTCCATGAACTTCTCCCATACTCTACAACACAAAAAAACACAACATTAAAATTCTGTACAATTGTAGATATATTTACATATAATAATAACAATACATGTACATGTACAATTGTACTATAATGTTCCACTAAATCTTCATTTCAACCGTATTTTCAACTGTAATTTCAATGCATTAAAAATATTGTACATGTACATGTACATGTAAGTCTATAGTACTAATACATTCATGTCCATATATTAATTTTAGTGACATGTACATGTACATGTACACTTTATAAGCATATCGGTGAACAATACCAAGAGCAAGCATGGCACAAGTAACAATTACTGTTTGTGATGATGAATATAAATTCCAATTATCAACTGACAAACAATGAATACTATTAAGCTAAGTATGATGTCCTTTTGGACTGTGAAGGTCAATGCTCCTTTCCACCCATTGCTTTTTATCATTATAATACCACCTCCTCTTTTATATATCTCCTCCTCCAATCTTTCTTTCTCTCTAGCTCTCCCTCTCTCCTTCACCCCCCCCCCCCTCTCTCTCTCAGGACTATAATCCATAAATGTACATGTACATGTTACCTTGGCACTCCAACAAATATAGTTGGTTTAGTTTCAATCAGTGTCGCACGAAGACTTCCCTATTGCAATAATAAAATATAATAAAATGAAAAGAGATAGGAAATTAAAGGAGGAGGAGGAGGAAGGAAGGAAAATGGTATGATTATAATTACTTTCAGTGCATCAGGCTGGGCAAAGTAAGTGGTACCACCAATGTACATCATCATGTAGATATCCAGAAACTAAATGCAAAATTGAAACAACAACAACAACAACAACAATAATAATACATGTTTTGTGAAGAGAATTGGAAATGGAATGTCATCAAAATGGAATAAACCTTACAGTGAAGTGGTATGCTGGTTAAGAACTAGACTGTCATTTGCTATTATTAGAGCATCCATATTATGCCTACGTGGAGCTCGTTCCAAGTGGCAATCCATTAATACACCTGATGGAGCCACACTTGACTACATGCTACGTTAATTACATTATTATTATTTAGATTAATTTTTTATTTGTATCCTTTTCTTTTTTTTTCATGACTCCCATTTCTAATTCCCTAATCTGTCCTGCTCTAATATAACCTAATTTATTCTAATCTGTCCTTACTTTTTATAATAATAATAATAATAATAATAATAATAAAATGACACATGTACATTAGTACCTGAGCAGCAATGTGACTCAATGGTAGATAAGATACCACACGCTCCATTCCTGGCTTCATGAAACCATATCTGCTGAATAGCGTCTTGCACATCCAAGTTAGCTACACAAATATACATGTACATGTACATACATGTGCATTGAATAAAGGATACAGCATAATACTACATGTACGTATAGTACTAAATTTATATTTCTATTTTAATTTACAACTCACAGAATCGTGAGACAGCATAACTCCCTTAGGATAGCCAGTAGTACCAGACTAAATTATTATAAAAAATAATATTCATTTTATACATGTAAATAAATGCATAAATAATACCCATGAATGCATGCTAGTATCATTGATGTACATGTATATATTAATGGAACATTACTGTGTATATGATGGAGGCACAGTGTCCAGGATTAAGTTGAACTATCTTGTCTTCAATGACTTGATTGTCAATGGAGGAGCCCATCTCAATGAACTTATCCCACTAAAATTAAGAAAAATATAATATAAAAATTGAAAGGTCACCCAACAAAAATTTGTCCACAAAACGTAAAAATTTCGAAGTGCATACCTCATAGACATTTGGATAATCTCCAGTGAGAGTTCCCCTGTACTGTATAATGGCTTTCACATTAGGAAGCTGCTCTCTCACCTACAAATTATAACACAACTTACATTGATTTTTTTTCACAGTTACAATATACACAATGTCAATTCACATAATACATTACTAACATTATATCCCCAATTACTATATAGTGCTGATCTGTTATCGTTCACTTACTGATAGGATCTTTTGCAGCTGCTTATCGTCCTCAACGACAACAATGTCCGCCCGACTGTCCTCAATAATGTACCGGCACACGTCGGGCTTGTTGGTCGTGTAGATTCCAACATTGACACCTCTGGAAAAATAATTAAAAAATAATAAAAATAATTATAAAATAATAAAATTAATGATTGTGATTGTACATGTACATGATGTGTATGGAACAAGCAAAATTTGACCCAGCTCAAACTCTCTCTCTTACCCAGCCAGTATTGCTCCTAGTCCTGATACAAACCACTCAGTTGAATTGAAGCCAAGGATGGCAACAGAATGGAATGGCTCCAGCTCCAGCTACAAGTGAAGAAAATTGATATGTATTGAGCAATCCAGATACATGTACGTGTATCAAAATACTTAAAATGAGCAGGTGAAAATATTTAAAAGAATATTACTCAATAAAGAGGAGCCTTATAAAATACACATATCATATCATATTTTTAAAGCTATTTTATTTACACTCAGTCAATTAGACTAAAGCTATTAGTAACCAATGGAATTCCTATCAGAAACCACGGCAGCTGTAATGAAATATTCAGACTATCATAGATGCACATTAATTTTTATTGTAAAGGAACAAAGTGAAAACATCACACATGGTAAAAAAAACAATCATCATGTTATTGTAACTACACTATACAACTGTGATAGTGAGTACTATCATTACTAAACACACTACAGGCAATAAAACTATTATTAGATGAACATATACATGTATGTGTATACTTGCATATAGTTTATGCATATACAATGTACATGTACATGTATACATGTTATTACATGTACTAAAGCAGTTGTGGATATACATGTACATGTAGTTGTACATGTTGATATAATAGCTCAGGTTTACCATAAAGCAGCTTATAATTAGAATACATCAGCTCAATAGTTAAAGTATAAATAACATCAATGCTTTACTGACATGCACAATCATTAATGCACACAATAGTATATACATGTATGCAAAGTCTGTACCTTCAAAAAGCTTTTAGCAGCCCTCACACAAAGATCATAATACTGAGTGTAAGAGATGCCGTTCCATTCACCATCGGCTGCTTTATAAGCAAGGGCATGGTTGTTAGGAAACCTCTTGACAGAGTCTTTGAAAAAGGCTCCAATTGTAGTTGGCTCAACAGCTGCTACCCCACTCTTCCCAATGAGGAGCTCAACAGGATCATCAGGCTCGAGGGAGTAGTACTTGGTACGTGGAGGACGCTCAGGCTCTACAAATGAACAGATACAATTTATTTTTTATTTAGCATTATAAATTAAAAGGTTATGGTTACCTTTCGGTTCCTCTGGACGAGTCTCTTCTGCTTCCTGAGGTTGTTCATCCTCTTTGGGTTGCTCTTCTTCTTTTGGCTGTTCTTCTTCTTTTGGCTGTTCTTCTTCCTTAGGCACCACCTGTTCTTCCTTGGGTTGTTCCTCCTCAGTAGTGGTCTCTTGTGGTGGTTCTGGAGCTGGAGGTTCCTCATCTTTCGGAGGTTCCTCATCTTTCGGAGGTTCCTCTTCTTTCGGAGGTTCCTCTTCCTCTTTTGGAGGTTCCTCGGAAGTTGGTTTCTCGTCTTCGGTGGGTTTCTCAACTACAGGTTCTTCTGTAGCATCTTCAGTAGTTCCTGTGATAATGATGCACACATTATAAACTATACATATGACACATTAACACATGGAAGGAACAACGTGCTCTAGGACAAATTAATATAAGAATTTTATCTAAAAATAACATCATGTACATATGTACACATTATATCCTAAGCAGTAAGCACACACAAATATTCTATTCTAGGGAAAGCCATGTACATGTACATGTACATGTACATGTTTAGATCTGTTCCCATGTTAACATACAAATGTACATGTACATGTATACTTTATTCTTGCAATTTCATTCAATAGAACTTTAATGGTAACTGCATTGCCACACCTGACTACAATGAGGTAGCACTATCATATCAATTAATGGAGGAGGAGGAGGAGGAAACCACTATCATGATCTTTATGATAATGATCACAATTGAAACAATAATCCAATATTTAAGTTGCATTATAATGTATTACAATAAACAGTACTGTTGACAAGATGCTATCTCTACACCCACAAAGTACTGATATTGTAACCACCCACACCACTAATTCAAACGAAGGAAAGAAAAAGGTTAAAGTTACTTGCAAAACCTAATTTAGTAGAGGCATGCTTATTAATTATTATATTCCATCTTTTTACATGTAAATGTATTTTATGATCGTAATAAAACAATACAACCACCATTTCCCTTGTTGAGTATTACTCTAAGGGCTGGGAAAAGGTAATAATTTTTCACTTATTGTATCCTATCTTCAAAGAAAATAGAATAGGGCTAACAGAAAGAAAGGCGGGCTTGCTGGTTGCAAGCCCTACATCAGCAGTCATAGCTACTCCAGTTTAGTACTGACCTTCGGGGACATTGGTTTGTTCTTCCTCAGACATAATGAGAGACAGCAGCAGCGATAGAATTAGACTAGACAATGAAATGGATGGATGGCTTGCAAATCAAATTCTTGTAACACAATCAACTTAAGTATCACGTGGTCACACTATACTACTTGCTCGAGGCTAGTTAATTAAATTTATTAACTGAATTATGAATAAAAATAATACAAAAATACTGGACAGTAAGAATGAGATATGATTATTATTTTGTTTATTTACAATAAAAAGCCAAAGCATAAAGCAAATGTGAGCATTCAATGGCACAAAGTGCCTTTGCAAAGACAGCTATTGTTCCAGGTGGATCTTGTCTGTTCCTCCATATTAACAGCATTTGATAGCAAGCTTCCCTCTCTCCACTACAACTAGCAATGCTCCCACACTGGAGTATGTCTCTCTTAGACAGTGAGAGCTCTTCAGCAAGCTTCTTCCATTTGGGAGCAATGTCTGATATCATTTGGAATATGACCTCCTCAGGTAGGGGAGTGTTCCTCTGGCAGAGCTCGGAGTATAATTTAGAGTCCTCAGATGATAGTGCTTGAGTCTTTTGCTTCGGTACGAATGAATCTACAATTAAAGAGGAAAGATTATGCATATAATGCAAGAACTCACGATTATTACTAGGATTATGACCAGGGTTTCCCACAGGATTGTGGGCATAGTGCTACTCAACTTAATTCTTTTCATTTTAAAATTGCTCAAAAATTGAGCCAAAGTCCCTATACTATAGTACATGGTCCTGGGCCAAAATTCACCAAAATTGAAGAGGACAGAATTCTCCATTTTTATAATTTTATCTGATGCATATACATGGTCTTATATTGTGTAGAAAGTTTGAGTGCATTCCGATCAAAATTGGATTTTTTACAAATGCTTAAAGTTGCTCCAAAATCTAGTAAAAGTCCCTGTATTATAGTACATGGCCGCAGGCTAAATTTCGGCAAAATTGAAAAGGAGAAAATTCTCCATTTTAATTATGTTTTCTAATACATATACATGTACTTATGATGTGTAGAAAGTTTGAGCTGATTCCGATCAAAATTGGATTTTTTTATGAATTTTTAAAGTTGCTCCATATGCCAGCTCATATGGAGTAGCTCCATTAGCAGCTTTTTGGAAAACCCTGATTACATGTATGACTTTAAGTTTTTCAAAAATCATTTCCTCAATTTTTATGATGTCAAACTAAAAAATATTGCTACTATAATTCAAACTGACAACAAAACTCACAAGCTTTCCTTCTTCCAGGTATTGCAATCACTTCAGCTGGCCCGTCAAATGTACCAGTATTCTGATTAGTCAAATAGGCATAAAGATCAGATAAATCGCCAGAACAAACATCAAACGGCTCCCGTAAAGAATAACAAGTAGAACTAGCGAGCGTAGCTGGTATAGAGCCTCGGTTGACTGGTTGATTAATAAAAACTGGAATAAAACTAGTGCCAGAGGGTTTCTTAATTGTCATGAGGTTGTGTAAAAAGTGACGCGTAAGTAGGATCTCGTTCTCGCCAATGGGAGCTTCGTTGCTCATATAATAATTGAGAGACTTTGTAATTATTAACAGGACGGCATCGGAGTCAATGATCTGCTCTTCATAATATTTTAAGAGATTCGTGACGTGTTCTCCTTCGTGAATTTGATCGTGAGATACTGCCACTCCACCTGAAACTAAGGACTCAATTAATCGCCTAACAGTAGCTTTGTGTGAGTCGATCTTATGAAGCTGGTGGGTGGAGTGTTCTGCTTTCTCTCGTAAAGCCTGACGATAAATGGCCGGATTTCTTAATTGATCTCTCGTATAAGGTGGTATATACTGCTCGTAAGGGTCAGGGTTGTGTATATACGCCATAAAGACTTTCTTTATTCGTCCATAACGAGGATCAGTCCTAGAGCAAGGCTTGAGAGAACCTTTATTGGTGGTAGCCATTTTAAAAAAGGGAGTGGTTTATAGAATTAATAGATGTAAATTTATAACTTGTTTGCGCATGCGCAACTTTACACTACCACGAGGTGAGTTGCAGAGTTGGAGACAAGAAGGCAGTAATGGAGTATGATGCTGCAAGTTGTATTGCAGTCCTCTTGGTATGTATAGCCTCTTAATTAGTGGCTAATGATATTTTTTAGGTTAATAGATAGTTTTAATTAGTGAAAGGCTGTTATGATTGACTGAACACGATGGAATCAATCAGGCAGCAGCTGCAAGTATTGCATTGATGAGGTTATGAAATGATTCGAAAGTTTTAGGTGAGGCTCTTTTATATGAATAAATCTAATTAAAAATTTGCACTTTAATGTTATGTGGGTGGGTATTACTAAATTTGTTAACGAGCAATTTGCAATTTGAGCTTTAAATTAATGAAGTTTGTATAATACACTGAATGGGCTCAGGGCAGTAAAGGTCAAAATATGTACCTTTCTCACCTTTTGGGGTTCTCAAGGGATTGATCCACCCTCCCTTAATGGGAAAGGAGGTGTTTATAAGTGCCTGTTTGTGTTAGTAAGTACTCAGTGATTTTTTTTATTCACACAGGTGTCTGTTGATTTTGATGCATTTCAGTGTCCTAATTAGCTTTGACAAGAGATTAATCAGGTTAGCTTCTAACTAAGTACTGGTCATTTTTGTGTCCTGGGCCATTTGTTTTTTGATGATGCCATCTGCTTGTGATTCATGCAAAAATGGATTGTTTTGCTCTATTCAGCAGAGGGGATTAATCTATATGGGCAACTGCACCATTTGCATGCTATGATGAGGATTAACCTACTTACATGTGCTGGTAAATTTATGCAGCTTTAACTGCTCAGTTTCACAGTTCCAAGCCGTCCTGAGATAATCACTCTTGCTGGGTATGACTCCGCCCACTTCATTAGTTAAATTAATGCCAGATTGTCAATCCTGGCAGCTACCTTAGAAAATTAATGCATTGATGACTGATGCTTTGAATTGCATTACAATGCATCTCACTTTCGTGAAACGTCTCTGTCCAGTCTTAAGTTCAACTTCACCGTGCAGAATTGAATGTCATTGTGATTGATTGCAATAGTCGTTGTTGCAGATTTTGCCGTAATTTTCATATTATAAATGATTTATATAAACATTTCTGGAATTTGTACTAAACCTAATTAAATGGTTAACTGCCTCGTTCTCAGTTTCACAATGCTAAGCCGTCCTGAGATAACCACTCTCTCTTTTTTTGATTGGAAAAAAATTAGAACATAATTATACAGAAGCAGTTAGAACATATATGTGCACCAGAAAACAATTCAAATAATCTTACCTTGAGTAGGAGGACACTTGGCTCCTGAAGGCCTTTTACATGAGCAAAGTTTTATATTTACTAATGGCATCACTATTATTGATAGAGAGTAAAAATTAACGGTTTGACTTCAGCCATTTTTTGGTTTCTTACGCATGTTTTCATAGTCCTTAGTCTTAATTCCATTACAGTGCCTCTCTCTCACACTTATGAAAAGGCAAGCCATTTAAATCAATTTAAAGCCTTGTTTGGAAAGCTAAATGACAAGTTAAATGGGAGGGATTGTTTCCTGAGACTACTTGATATCAAAGACATTGACACAAGAGAAACTTATACATTAATGCACTTAGTATTTAGTTTCTGTGTTTAAAAGAGGAGATTCGCCAATAGTGTCCTCATGATTGAATGAAGCAAGACAGTGTCCAGTTCTAGCCAGGAGATTCCACTGCTTTTAGTATCAGCTGTGGCATTGAATGCCATTATGATGATTAGTATGCACAGACTTTTTTATTTTTCTAAATTCAAATGATTTTTTTAATGAATGATCTCTGCTTTAGGAGAGCTTTGTTGCTTCTTGGTTTCTTCCCATGCATTTCAGATGCTGCAAAAGCAACAGGTGTTGGATCTATTGGCAACAAAGAGGTGATGACATATACTGGGAATATTCACTGTTGCTTCAAAATCTATTACTTCTGATGTAGTTGCCATTTGTATGCAGATTTATGTAGCCTTTCAATTCTTCAATACATGTAACTTCCTACTAAGTCAGAATGAATGTGGCCTTCTTTACCATTCAAAGCTTTTATCATTTCAATGTTTTTCAAGTTATGCTTGTAAAAACTAGGAGAGCTTTGTTGCTTCTTGGCTAGTCTCCTCATGCAGTTTACATCAATGTGCAGTGTATGTAGCCTTTAGTAAACATTATTTTCAAACAGCATTCATTAATCAAAGCAACACTTCTAATCATTCTTTTTAAATCATTTGCAGTTCACAATTACATTTCAGCCTTTTTTCATTTTTAAACATCTTTCTCATGGGAAGGCCTTCTGTCCGTACTCAAATTTTGTTTCAACCATTATCTCTTCACATTTCCTTGGGCCTACAGTACTAATAATTTTAACTGTGGAGCTATTCAATTACATTGTATTCTTATTCAATTGGACAAGTGCAAACATGCAGTCAACACCACTCTTAAAACTCACCAAACAACCATGACATATTTGATTTTCTTTTATGTCTTAGAGAACGTGATTGTATTTTTTATATCTTAAAATAAATGTTTTGAAATTTCAATCACAGTGTGAATAAGGTCATAGGTAACTGGACCATTTGCATGCAACGATAAAGATTAACCTATTTGAATGTGCTGGTACCTGCTCAGTTTCACAGTTCTAAGCCGTCCTGAGATAATCACTCTCTCTTAAATGGGTTTCCTGGCAGTTACCTTACAAAATTAATGCATTGATGACTGATGCTTTGAATTGCATTACAATGCATCTCACTTTCGTGAAACGTCTCTGTCCAGTCTTAAGTTCAACTTTACCGTGCAGAATTGAATGCCATTGTGATCAATTGCAATAGTGATTGTTGCAGACATTTTTTCATAATTTGCATATCATGTTTCCGATTAATTCAAACCTTTTGCATTATGGCAATTAATGACATCCACTTAATTTATTCTTTACATTGTATAACTTCCGTAGCAAATGAACATATATTTTTTTCCTTAATAATACCAAAAAGTTTATGCTGAAAAGTATGTCTTGCAAATTTTCGAAAGTCTTTAAACTACTCATTCTCCTCCACAATTATGCCAGTACTTACTTTTTTGTTTATTACTAGGTGATTGGCAATGCAATGGTCCACATAACATGCAAGAAGAATACTACTGAACTTATGAAAAAACAGGTAATTTAAATTAGTATCACCTAATTTCTAGAGTTTATGCATTGACGCAGGAAGTGCTTCTTATGATGTATGTGACAGAGAGAGATTGTTATCATTGCTCTAGTTTGTATGATTTCCCTCCCATGTGACTGAAATTCCTCATTTCTTACATAATGCATCTAGTTTTGACAATGCATGACCACTGCTAATGGAAATTTAACCTCTGCTAATGGAGTGCTCCTCCTATGGCTGCTAATGGATGGAAACTTTCACTGATACATTATCTATTTTTAGATATGTCGGGAATGAAAAGATATTTATATAGCAAAGGAAAGGACAATGAAACTTGATTATTTTTAGTATTGAATGCTCTTTCATTTTTTTGAGTTTTAATTTTAATAGTTTGAGTTTCACAGAAAGTTTTATCAATGTCACATGTAGCTATAAAAAATACATCCCCAATACCTGCCACAAATGCTAATAAAATGGCTCATCCTACAGTATTCTTCCTTTTTTCTACAACTTCTATTACTTTATTTTCCTGTTTTGGTTGCACAGTAGAAATGCAAGATTGCAACTGGGATCTACTCTGATATTAATGAATATTTGCATAATAAATGACTAATAATTTTAAGTGTGTAGTTATGAAAATATAAAAACTATAGATTATAGTAACTACGATCAAATCAATGGATTTAACACAAGGTCCTTTGTTACTCCATACTGAACTTTAAATGGGCTTCCTTTAGCTTCTATTGCATTAATGCATACCGATATCTCAATGATACGACGTGTGAAGAGTGATAGAAAACCACCACTAGAGAGGAAATACACAACAGTCCATTCATTGGATGAATCAGCCACAGGCTCAACTTTTACTTCCTCAGCAGTGCATTGCCTCCCATTGGGTAGTTTAATGGTGACTGAGATTTCTGGAGGGGAATGAAGCTTCTTGAGATACTTTATAGTGAACGTATTGGCACCAGTTCGGGCCCTCTCTTGTAATCCTGATACTACTATGGCCGATTGATCGATGAGTTCACACTGAAGTGGATCTTTTTGTGAAGAGAACTTGTACTCAATTGGATCGGAAGTGAGGGCAAATTGGGTATTAGTGTCAACAACACTTCTCATTTTCTTGACAATGGAGCTTGCCTTGCTCACAGCTTCTCTGCTATTGTACTGCTCTTTACTTGATAAAAGGTTTTGAGCCGATTCCACTAGTCTTCCGGCATTTTCCTTTGACTTGATTAGCTCTTCTATGTCTGCATCTCTCTGTTTGTTCTGGCTAATCTTGACATCCTCTAACATCTGCGAGAGGCTCTTCTGATGAGTCTCAACTTCAGACAACTTCTCTTGAGCCTTTTTTATCCTCTCTCTTAAACGACTTGTAGTTTGGTCAAAATAATCCGTAAGCTCTAGCTTGCAGGACTCGAGATTTTCTGATTCCTGCTTTTTTAAAGCATTAGCTTCAGCTAGATGCTCTTCGATATTGCTCCCAGCGTTGTTCACTAAGCCCTCAAGCTCTTTCACCTCCTCCATCAATTGACCAATGACATCCTCATGATCTATAACCTCATGATCGCTGTGGACAGGATCCGAGATACAAGACCGGCAGACAAGAAACTGACATTTTAAGCAATACATGTCCTGCTTCTTGCTGTGCACATCGCACAGAAACTCTTCCTTAGCTTCGTCCTTCTTCTTTTCTTTCTTTGGAGGTACTTCATTACAAACTTCATCATCATTATTGCTTGTATTTGAGTGAGAACGTAATAGCTCTATAACATCGGCCAGCTGATAATTTTTGCTTATCTTATGGACGTCTCCATTTGGTAGCGGGTGCTTTACTCTACATGTAGGACACTCCAGTTCATCTAATGAGTGATAACAAGAGTATAATAAATTGGTGATAATTTATGATAACAATGATGAGATGGGGGTGTTCTCATACCTCTTGATTCTCCTTTGCTTTGCGACTCGGAGTAAACCTTTTCGAGGCAAGCAATGCAGAAATTGTGTATGCATGGCAGAGCCCTGGGATCAGTCAGTGTCTCCAAGCAGACGGGACATTGGAGGCTCTCTTGTAACTCGCCTTCTAACTTCCCTGCCATTTTAAAGGTGTGGTTTCGAGCTTGAGCTTGTAGTAGGTGGAGTTAAAGAGTTTAAAAATTAAAATAATTTTTTGAATGGTAATAAAATTTAACAATACTGTCTATGATAAAAAAATTAAAATATATTAAATATGGATTAGTTTTTGTTTAAAAACAAATATATAAAGCTAAATTTAAATGGGAGGTGTGACCATTTTCAGTGGCTCCTTCAAAGAGATTCCCCTAACCAGTAGCAGCCATGTTTGCAATATCCGATAGTCCCCATACTCTTGGAATCTCTTTACTCTCCCAAGCAGCTGCTCACGAGCTAGCCCAAGCCTCCTCTGTGCCTCTGAATAGAGAAGAGCTCTATCCAGATCACCCTGTTATATAAAGGATTACAGTTTATACAAGTACAGGAGTGTTAACCACAATGTAATGAACCCACAATAGCTTTTACAAATAGCTGAGTATAAAAATGAGCATTAGAAGCTGGTGTAGATTCATTGTTGTGTTCTTGATTTCTAAAAAATTTTTGGAATGGGGTACATGGTATATCTACCAATTGTACCCCTACAGTAATTTTAATAACACTATTGTCAAATGCAGTTATAAAAAGTTATAACCATCCAAGGAAGGTGTACAATGTATAATTAAAACTGATGCCCCATATCACCGTTGTATTGAGATGCATGCAAAGTAGTTCTGTACATCGTACAATATCTTCATTCACTTACTTCCAGAGGTCCATGACGAATCTTCATCAAATAGTCTCTATTGCTACCAGTACAAGTGACGACTGGGTTTCCTCCTAACACGAAACTCTCCAGTGACAGCAACTTGTGAAACACTTGATAGAAGAGTTTTCTTTCTCTCGGGGTACCTGTGTGTTTCCCGCTATTGATCAGCTTCATGTGTGTCTTAATAAAGCCAATATACTGGAGTATCACTTTTTCACTCATGAAGCTTTTCCTAAGCGACGATAATTCGGACCAGTAACTACTTGTAAAGTAGAGATTGTCGGCAAATAGCAACTACAAATAAAAAGTTAATATCAAGAATGTATTAAGCAATATGAGCAGCTGCAACTTAAATTTACTTCGAATATGTTCACGGCTCCTTTTAGCAACATCTCACAGAATAGTCTTATCTCGTAGGCAGCAATTTCTGTATCAGCTTGATGTCCGCGATTATCCATTGATTCCTATGGTAGCAGTATGAGCTGGATTAGGGATACAATGATAAATTAATACATTACCTTGTGGTTGAAACTACTGCTAACAATAGCCTAAATGAATAAGAAATGCAATGTCCATAATTGATGATAATTCTGCAAATCATCATCACTTTTTGCATATTAAATTTCGACAGTAATTGTTAATCTTAGTATTTCAGCAAGCAATAATTGATATAATTATCAATATAATATTGCCATACTTAGATAGCCAATTTTGTCACAATTCACTATTACATGTACATATACACAATAGTAATATTCAATAATATTATATTACAGATACTCACGTGAGTTGGTTTTCTGTACACCACTATATAGTCTGTGTCAGATGTAGGCATAGCTAGGTTATACATTTGACTTCCTGCCTTAGCAATCACGATCACGTCACGACTGTGGACACTCGTTAGAGATTGAGAATCAAGGAAATCACGATGGGGATCTAAATCTGATTCCAGCTCTAAATGAAATAAATACAGTGTAATATTGTTTTAAATGTTGGCCAATGTTCCTGTGCTAGATATATATCATCAAAATAGTTAGGAGAGAATTTTCCATTAAAAAAAATTCTCTGATACATGTACATGTTTTTATGCTGCGTAGAAAGTTTTAGCTGATTCCAATCAAATTTGGATTTTTTACGATTTTTTAAAGTTGCTCCAAAATCAGGTAAAAGTCCCTGTACTATAGTGCATGGTCTTGGGCTAAATTTCGCCAAAATTGAAAAGGAGAGAATTCTCCACTTTTATCACATTTTCTGATGGATATACATGTTCTTATGTTGCGTAGAAAGATTCAACTAATTCCGACCAAATTTGGATTTTTTACGATTTTTTAAAGTTGCTCCAAAATCAGGTAAAAGTCCCTGTACTATAGTACATGGTCTCGGGCCAAATTTCGCCAAAATTGAAAAGGAGAAAATTCTCCACTTTTATTACATTTTCTAATACATATACATGTTCTTATGTTGCATAGAAAGTTTCAGCTCATTCCAATCAAATTTGGATTTTTTATGATTTTTTAAAGTTGCTCCAAAATCAGGTAAAAGTCCCCGTACTATATTTTATCAAAAAGCTAGGAGAGAATTCTCCATTTTTACTACATTTCTGCGACTGACCTTGAGGTAGTGAAAACTTAACTCCCTCCATTCTCATTTTAGTCAGCCATTCTCCAAGCTGTGCGGTCCATTCAGGCTGGGCAGTAGGCACTGCCCCTATTCCTTCATTTACTCTCTCCTTTACTTTCAATACGTATTCAAGCAACTGCTCCTTGTGTACTAAACCCTGTGAAACAACACAATGTGTAACACACAATGCAAAAAAATGATTGTTAGTAATAGCAATATTTTCAATAGATATTCAATGTGGATAAATAAAATCAATAGAAGACATAGTTACCTAAAACTTGTAATTGACAATACATAGGTATTACAAGTAAATTGAAGTGGATAGTATTTTAAGTGGTATTTTACTTCGAATGCTTTCGTCAATGATTGAAGTATCTCTTTTTCTTCCTCAGTCACGCCCACATCAAACCAACTACTTATTGGCTCTCTCTTAATTGCTGACTCAGCATAAGAAAGAAGCCTAAAAGAAATGAAGCACAATTACCAATACTGTGTCATCCAAAAACATACATGTATGTACATAAGCACATATCACATCTATGTGTGTTTGTTACCTAAAAGAGTCACAAAAATTCTTTACAAGAGCATCATCTCTGATCACCAGTCTACCAGAGGTCGGTCTCTTCTTTACCAAGGCACCGACGGACTGTCCCACGCAGCGATCAACAAAGGTACGAGTCAAGAGCGAGACTGGATCAAGAAGTGATGCCAGGTTGATCCACTCCGGTGAGCTAAAGATGATCGAATCAGGAGGGGAGCATAAAGCTTCGACTGCTCTGACGTTACCACGCTGGAGCTGAGCACAAAAATGTCTCACCTCGCAAGCAAATATAACACCCTACAAAGCAAAATAAAGACTGTAACATTCAATTATATTAAATTTTTGAAAGGTATGAAAAAATCCCAAATTTCTAAGTTACGCAATAATGAATACTGACTCACTTGATCGACAGTTTCACATAGCTCCTTCTCGTGTTGAGTGGCTAGCGTAAAGAACTGCTCATCTCGTGACACAAACACAACATAAAGGATGTTATTCTTCGCCTGTGAAGACTCTTCAGACTGAGAGCCGGAAAACCACGGACATGTAAGTATCGTAGCGTACACAAGTCTCTTAACTTGCCCATCAAATATCTCTGTTATTTTCTCGGCTATTTTTGCCTTCGTCCCTTCGTGGAGGTTATTAGGAGTGTGAGACACGACAAGATGGCGGAGCAAAGAGAGTTGATTGTGATCCAAGGAGAAAGGGCTGAAAATAAACTGAGTACCCTCGACACGGCTTTTTAGATCACGCAATGAGTCTAATATGGTGACACTCTCATCTGCAGCTAAACATTAAAAAAACAAAAAAATTAATAATAAATATCAGATAATTTTCTACTATTTTGGGGGATTACTTTTTTGAGCTGCGGGTTTATTTTCTGCTTTAGATCTCAATAAAGAGGAGAGCCTTTCCTGCGCTTGTACAGAGGCAGTAGCTGCTGCCACTAGCTCTTCATCTACAGGCCAATCACCGGAGAGAGAAGAAGACAGGGTCGGTTCTTCCATTGCAAAATCTAATGTCATGAGACTGGGTGGAGCTGGACTAAAATTAATTTGTGGGAGTGGCTAATTAATTTAAATTTGCAACATAGATCTAAAAATTTTTCGAATGATTTATAATTGAGATATAATTAATCTGCCATGCTATCTAACTGTCTCCTCAAAGCTGGAGCTCTATGCCTCACCAAATAAAGAACACACTCTAAAAATACAAAAATAAATAATGATGAAATATTATTCAAGACGCACACTTGCCTCTAAAAATCTTTGAACTGCTAAAAGGAACAGTTCGTTTCAAACTTGCCCACTTTTGCCTTAAAAAATACTTTGATCTGGCACTGCATGAATAAAACACAAAAATTAAATGACACGTATGGTTACTACTGAAGCTGTTTTTGGGTACCATCATTATCATACCTAGGCCAGGCAGCTGCTAGTCTCTCCCAGTCGATGTCCTCTTCATCCTCAAGTTCCTCATCTTCATTCAAACACTCTATTAGCCTCAAATCATCAGATGTCGTCCATTTTTCTTCTCCTCCCTTTAACTTCCAGGATAAGAGCATCACCCTACAATTAAATGAAAAATTGATAAAATTTACAAAAAACAAGCTTCATCTTTTACATAATAATAATAATAATAATTATTAAGCTCCTTTTTACCATTTAAAACGACACTGCATGGCGCTCCTAGTTACTACCGCCCTTGAGATCATCTCCCAAGTGACGTTAGACGGTAACTGACAGTCTTCAATCCCGTGCTCCCTAACCATCACTTGGCATAACTTGTCAACTTCTTCGCTTGACCACGGGCCTAACAAAAAAATAACAACAATATAAAAATATATATACAAACAATATAACTAAAAAGTAAGTGTATACAGTAATTTTACAATTATTTATTAGTATATTAATGCATACATGTGCTTTTACCTTCAGTGTATTTTTTATTAATATTAACAGTTCTAAAATGGTCGTAGCAAGTGGCCCATCCGATGCCCATAATCTGTCCAATTGTATTCCAATCGTTTCCATGTAAAGCATGCAACCTGATTGTAATGTTAAATTTAGAATGATCACTCAATGATGACATAATCAGTTTTGTTACTAAAAATAGACTATAAACTCACTCAACTAATCTGTCATTCATTTCTCTAGTCCAACTAAAAAAAATTATTATTAAAATAAAATATAAAAATAGAATTAAATTCTATTTACATGCCAACGTAATTCTCTTCAGTGAAGAATCTCAATAACTTTCTGTACACTACGAACAATGGCCTCTTGATGTTACAGGCTATAAAAAGTATAGACATAAATTAACAGACTAGTCGTTCCAAAATTTGCAAAGCAACCATAAAATTTGAACACATCCGGAAATTGAAGTGATTGTCATTGTACATACGGTATAGTGGTTTTTTTCGAGGATAACAAATTTCGCAGATTTTTTCATGATTTGCGAAATTAAATTCCTTCAAAATCAATTTAATACAGTACAAGATGGCAGATTAGTAGAAATTCGCAAAAATTAATTCCGCAAACTTTCAGATACAGGTCATTCGCGAAATTTATTTTCCTCGAAAAAAACCTGCTATACGGTACATACCTATTTTTCTGTAAAACTCGATATTCTTGTCAGCATTGTCAAGAAGTATATTAATATCCGTGATATTGAACTCCTGTAATAAAAAAAAATTTATTACATTGAAAGATAAAGACTTTCGAGTTGCAAATCTTAATTTCAGAAAAATAATGTACATATACTGTATAGCTGGAAATATTTGCTGGAATTTAATTTTGCTGTTTGCTGTTCATCATAAAAACGCACAATTTAATTCCGCAAAGCATTATAAGTAATGGGTGTATCAACAGTACACGCCTACACCAGCAAAATTAAATTCCACAAAAATTAAAATTAGCTATATGGGTACAAAATTGCAAAATATAATTCTCGCAAACTTTTCCAGCTATACGGTACATTATACCTTCATGTATGATTTCAGATTAGTCTTTAGTATATCATACTCTTGTTTTGACCATCTCCCCTTCTTCCATTCGCCGCCTAAAAAATGCTTTCAAGTTTTCCAGAAATGTACGCGTTACTAGTTACATCTTTCCTGTAGTTCTCTCAGTTCGGAGGCTTTTGTGACAAAACTGCTGTGTAGGTCAGAATATTCATCGTCAAATTCTTCGTCTCCGGCTTCAACATCATGAGCAATTATCTCGTCAATCAGGGCCTGCCTTTTCTTCCAGTGGTGTGAATACTTAACTGAACAAGGAAAAGGTTTGAAATTATTAAGGAAGGTAAATCCAATAAAGTTAAAATCACTTGTAGTTATCCCATCATCATCATCATCACTCTCTATGTTCTCCATTGTCAGTTGTCACATGTCCTCACGTGACGTGTTATTAATAACTTTTAAAGAGGCGTGGTCATACAAAAAATAGGTAAAAAATCAAGGGTATCTGAATCTCATAATCTTCCCTCTTCATACTCTTTGTCTCCATCTCAGTTCTCCATAGTTTCGATGGTCAGGCGGAGACCATTCCACAGCCTACAGTCATTTGAGTGGACAACTAAGTTCTCCTCGTTTTGCATCTCTTTTTTGGTTCTTTCCCAGCTCTGCTCTGTATCTTCATGCCCCCACTCTGCCTCTATTCATCACATTGATCATATCAAGGCGTGTAATGGCTCAGACTTTTTATTGACTTTCTCTTTCTTTACAAACCTCACTGATGACCTGATGTGCGTGCACAGAATGTACAAGATGTACATTTACAGTCACGACACCAAAGAAGTTGATGAATTGACTCAGGAACCCCCTCCTGTTTTCAATAATCTCACAAAAATCTGTACTTCTTATTTAATAATTGATGGTGTGACTTTTCAGAAGTATCATGGCAAGCTGCTACAGATTAGAATGTATCCTACTAGTCCGGTCCAGTGCTCAAACAACTTTAGTGCCATTATTGGGACAGGTCAGTGGAGAGAGGAAGAGAAGAGAGAGAGGGAGGGAGGGAGAGAGAGAGAGAGAGGGTTGGGAGAGAGAGGGAGGAGAGAGAGAGAGAGGGAGGAAGGAGAGAGAGAGGGAGGAGAGAGAGAGAGGGAGGAGAGAGAGAGAGAGAGAGGGAGGGAGGAGAGAGAGAGGGAGGAGAGAGAGAGAGGGAGGAGAGAGAGAGAGGGAGGGAGGAGAGAGAGAGGGAGGAGAGAGAGAGAGGGAGGGAGGAGAGAGAGAGGGAGGAGAGAGAGAGAGGGAGGAGAGAGAAAGCTTGGGAGAAGGGAAGGGAAAGCAAAGGGTGCTATCAAGAACTGAGGAGCATAAGGGATAAATTTTTTTCTTTTGTTTTAGATCCTCCTGATCCAGTTAACACCTCATCAGTAGTCAGTGTTGTCAATTGTACTGGAGTATATTTATACTGGACTCGACCTGTCACTCCAACTGGATGTCATATTTTAAATTATAATATTATCTTACAGTGGAATGACACTGTTGTTACTACTAAAGAACCATTCCATTACTGGCTCGCAGATGAATTGCCTTCTGATGAAGTCCTCACTGTTAGTATTGAAGCAGTTAATGGAATTGGTCCTAGTCAAGAGACTTCTATTAACATCAGTACTGCCATTAGTAAGTAAAGGAATGTACATATACATGCATGTATATTGCATGACCAAATGCTTCTCTACACACTTTAAAAGTTCTAATGATTCATCCTTCTTTAATCTTTACTATATAGAACCTGTTGTTAATATTGTCAGCCACAGTGTAATCATAGTACCTTCAGCAGCTCAACTAATTGTAAATGCTGAGGTAAGATCTATTGCTACATATGTATGTTTATTGAAATTATTCTTCTACTTTTCCAGTTGGATTCTGATTGCTGCCCTTTCTCCTCTCCAAGTCTCCTTCATATTTGTACAATGTGTAATAAAAGTGCTAGCCCATTCTGTTCATACATTAATCTCACTATATACAATGATGTGATGATTACTATTAATACGACACTTCCTCTTGATCTTCAATGTAAATCCACCCTCACCTGGTCGAACCACCATTCATCATACATCAGTTATATCAATGATACTTTTAGTGAGTTTGGTATAATATATATCAGTATCTTTACTATCTTAAGACTTATTAAATTGAGGTTTACCTTATTATACAGGCACATCTCCAGTTCACAGTGTATTTATTCCTACTAACAGTTCTACTGGTTATTTTAGGATCAATTGTACTTTATTGCCAGGTGGAAGTGGGTGCGTCATTAAAGTTTTTAACTCATCTGGTCTCTTCATTTTTATGGAAGTTTTAACTCTAAATGACACTGTCACAGTTTCTGATGATGACTATAAAGTGGTTTCAAAGACCACGACTCATCAATTAACAGCTAGTGGAACATATACAGTATTTGTGCATTCACTTAAAGATAGTGGCAATGAGAGTGATGTAGTCATTGCTAGTAGAGTCATTGAAGTGGTACTGCCATCACCCTCACCATCACTTGTCATCAGTACATCCTCACCATCACATACACCCCCACCCTCACTCTCACCATCACCATCGCAATCAGATACATCATCATCTCAATCACCAACCTGTGAGTTTTATTACATACAGATACTTAATGATTTCTTATAGGTTCTACTGACTGTTCTGATTCTGATGACATTGTCATTGGTAAATTTAATGATTACATTGTTTGATAAAGTATAGCTTTTTATTAGGTGCAAGTGTTTGTACATTTCTTATTGTTGGTGGTGGTGTGGCATGTGTTGTTATATTTTGTGTGGTACGACTATGTTATGTTAAGAAGTGCAAGAAATCAAAAAAGTTAGTTGATATACTGTATAGTATTTAAATTTTATTATTATTTAATTAATTCTAATAATTAGAATTATTAGTGTGGGAACTAGAAGTGAATATATAACCTCACAAACGTTCACGCCAATTGAACTGGAGGAAGCACCACCTTCTATTGGTACAGATCCAAACTCTCTGAATCCTCTGATTAGAGTAAACACATGTTGATATAATACTGTAATATCTTATTCATTTTAAAATCATAATTCCTCACAGAACACAAGTAATCCTCAACCAGGAGATGAGAATAATGCTAAACCAGATGGGCGTAATGCTAATGACCCTCATCTTGATGTTCCACATGATCCAAACCCTATATATTTAGCACCTGAACAAGCTAGTAACTCGGTCTGTATTATACTATCTGTCCCTTTTTTATCAGTATTATCATCCAATGTAGAATGATCTTCAAGGTGCAGCTCCTGTTGTAGCACAAAAGACGATAATAAGAAATGATAGGACTGATAGCAATAATGAAGTTCAAACTGCAACAACAACACACGAGTAAGGATTTTATTTGTTTTTCCTTGAACATTAAGTGTTTGTTATGATAATTTTTCTTTAGACTTAAACCTCTAACAATCCCAGCAAGTACTATAGCAAAAACAAGTGTGGAAAATGGACGTAATTTGGATGTTACAAAAAGTCGCTGTACAGTGTTATAACTTTGTGGAAAAATTGATAATTTTTAAACAATTAACAATAAATTGCTACTGCATTATGATTATTTTTTATTCTTTTTATCAAGAGTAGCATATTTATCATCAACCAGTGGCTTTAGACCAAATTCCTTCAACAGGACGTGATACCTTGTGAAATCAGTCCTTCTCAGATACTTAAACAGTTTCTTACGCCTTTCAATACCGTGAAGCAGCTTACGGAGACTACTCTTATCCTAAAAATAAACACACATACAATGTAACCAGTGCTACATGTACTTGTAAAAGGAATAGTGCATGAATTTATTACACATTTTCTGATGTATATCAATGTTCTTATGCTATGTAAATAATTATCCAAGTTATTAATGTTAAAACCTGGACATAGTCATGGTACTTAGCTATTTTTCTTACTTTTCTGTTATTTCTCATATGTTCAGTGAGATTCTGTATCTTAGCAGTCATTATGGCAACTGAAAAATGATTAAAAAATACTAATAATGTTAATACTAATACCGGTATTATTAATAGCATATTTTGCAATTATTAATTATTAATTAATTACTTAATAATCGCAAATCTACCATGTGCTAAAATTACAAAAATTTAGTACCCACAATTAAAATTTACTCTAAGATAATCAGGTATCATTTTAGTCTGGACACGCCCCTTCGCTGTAGATGGGGTGTGTCCAGACTAGTATCGTTCTTACTTTGTACAGCAGTAGAGCCAGTGTCTCCAGGATTTTGCTGATACTTCTGTATCATTTCATTCTTAAGGAGCTTGTTCCTCTGTTTCTTGCTTGCAAACTCGATGCTAAATCTTTTCTTGACAGCCTCGGGTGAACTAAAAAAATTAATAATTTTAAGATGCTTTTAATCGTAATACTGTAGTAATTATATATATATTATTGATATTATTTCAGTAAGTTATGCTCACTTTTCCATTTCAGGTATATCATTGTAGCCAAACTTGTACTTTGAAGTAATGGAAATGCCTGTACCAGCTGCTTTTGAACTGGCTGCTCTTGAACATATTAAACTACCTGGAGAAATACAATAATAATAATTATTATTATTAAAATGATTTTTTAGATAAAAAATACAAGATATTAATCAATCAGATCACTACAGTTTTCTTACTGTGTGATGGTAATTGAACTGTTCTTTGCAAGAGCAGCCTAACTCCTCCAAAAGATAGAAATGCTGCTGCTTTCAAAGACATTTTCCAATGTGGGTGTGGTTATAATGTTTTGTAGGCGGAGTTTTCCCACGTGCAAACACGTGTTTAAGAGCCTACAGTTATTACATAAATATTATTAATCATTAAATTTTACTGTAAACTGAAGACTTCCTTGTGTAGTATTTAATCTCATAGGAATTACATGCATATTAGAGTAAACCATTTGCAAAAGTTTGTTTCATTTTGAAAGATTGCCTGTTTCATCTTACAGTTATGATTCTTCTGCTAGTGCTATCTCTCATCTCTTTTCATTTAGCACAATGTAAGTAAGTATAAGCATGTAAGCCATATTCCATTGCTTAAAAATTATGACCTAGTCTAATGATTTTTTTCATCATTGATGTCCTTGTATAAAGTTTGAGTTGATTCTGACTAAAATTTTTTGAAGTTATGGTCACCTAAAGAAATAAGCCAATTAAAAAAAATTCCCTATACTTGCCCATGCTTTTTTCCGAAAAAATGGCCCTAAAATAACCCCCTATTTTTATTACACTTTACAATATATATATATTGATGCCCTTGTGCTATGTAGAAAGTTTGAGCTAATTCTGACTTCAACTTTTTAAGTTATGGCCATCTGAAGAAATGGGCCAATTTTTGATAAAATCCCTGTAATATAGCCCATGGTTTTTTCCAAAAAATGGCTCCGAAATGACCCCAAATTTTTATTACATTTTTTGATACATATTGATGTCCTTATGCTATGTAGAAAGTTTGAGTTGATTCCGACTTCAATTTTTGAAGTTATGGCCATTTTTAAAAAATTGGCCAATTTTTGATAAAATCCTTGTACTATATAGCCCATGGTTTTTTTCCAAAAAATGGCCCAAAAATGACCCCCAATTTTTATTACATTTTCTGATACACATTGATGTCCTTATGCTATGTAGAAAGTTTGAGCCAATTCCAAATTTAATTTTTCAAGTTATGGCCAATTTTTAAATGTTCCAATTTTTGACAAATTCCCTTTACTAGTATAGCCCATGCTTTTTTCCAAAAAATGCCTCTGAAATGACCCCCAATTTTATTACATTTTCAGATACATATTGATGTCCTTATGTTATCTAGAAAGTTTGAGCTGATTCCAACTTGAATTTTTTGAGATATACCATTTGAAATGTGCAAAAATATGCCAATTTCAATTCAAAGAAATTTTTGAACTTTTTACTTGGCTAATGTTAGATTATTTGGATCATTCAAGTTCATGCTATTATTTTAACAATTTCTGGTGAATGTAAAAGTTCAAAATTGTGTAATGCATAACAATTTGAGCTGATTTGGTTGCAAATTTTTGAGTTAAAAGACTTATAACCTAAAATAATCCTGTGCTTAAATTTTAGCTTCATCAGGCATGCTCACTGTTTTATGCCATGCAAATTTTAAATCTCATTAGAAAAACAATGAAATTGAAAATAAAATGATAAAGTATGTTTATGATAACATTACTTAGTAAGAATTGACAAGTTGTGAAAGCAGGTCTTGCACATCAAGACACTCATCAATAATATTTACTGCAAAAACATCAAACAGTTCTGCAGTATTAGCTACATAATCCCCAATGGAGCATTACTTGTTTCTGTACAATGTTTGCATCAATGCAGGTTGTCGATATGGCGAGGTTCGTTTGGCTGATGGTAGAGTTGAAACTGAAGGACGAGTTGAAATATGCATTGGTGATTCATGGGGGACTGTCTGCGATGATAGATTCACTAATATCAATGCTGCAGTTGTATGTCGACAGATTGGATACACAACTAACTTTACACCAGGTAAAGTGCATGTCCCAACTACATACATCACTTTATATATTGCACAGTTACTGTGTATCGGTCAAGGGCTTACTTTGGAATGGGCTCTGGAAGGATACTCTTGGATGAGATCATTTGTAATGGATCAGAGAGCCGTTTGGTTGACTGCGATATGGACCGTGAATCGATTGGTACTCATGACTGTGATCATAGTGAAGATGTTGGTGTCATATGCACTGAAATAAGTACATTACATGCTAAAAACTAACATCAATATTGTATTTTAATAATGTATAATAGATTCTGCCAATGCAGTATCAGTATGTAGTACTCAATTGGATGATCGACTATGGAACAAAATGACGTAGGGTGTACATATATATGCATGTAACTTGATAGATTATCTTTTTTTTACTACTTTAGTTCACAGGGCGAGTGTGAGCCTTACTACAAGACAAATGTCACTTCTGTCTGTGATGCCTACTTCTCTGAAACTGACTATGTCTATTTTCCCAAGGGACAAACCTACGGCCAGCCTCACATACGATTCTTCATGGAAGAGCTTACAAAAAGCTTCCCATTCACTTCTGACTGCTATGACATTGTGGCAAAGGCACTGTGCACTTATTACTACTTACCTTGTGGGACTCGTGATGCTATACACGTTCCTCAGTTCCTCTGTCCTCAGATTTGTAACTGCATTTCAACCGACTTGTGTGCCGATAACTGGGAAATATTGCTCAGAACAATAAGCAATTTTAAATTTGAGTCCATGACAGATAGCATTGATCCACCTGATTGCAGCAATCCAGGAAAACTCATTGAATCTCTCAATCTTAATGGTGACTGCTGTTCTGATGCTTCTATTAATCATCAATGTAATGGTATATTCTACCTAATTATTTATAGATTATTTTTGTCCTTTTTAGGTAATTCAAATGTTGCTGTAGCAGTCTCTGTAACATTGGTATTGCTCTTGCTTGTGGCAGTGAGTGTTGCCGCTGTTGTGGTGATTGTCATTGTTGTTTTGAAGAAGAAAAAACGTGAGAAAGTTAAAGTCCGCGTCGTATGGAAAAGAAAAAGATCAGTTAACTTGAGCTTGGTCTCAAGAGAGTCTCTCAGATACTATCCAGGTAAAAAAATTGTTTAATGAATGCTTCAAAAATTTTTAAATATGTTTTTATACGTATTTTTTTTCAGGGGAATCTGTTAGACCTGCACTGTCGCCAGGAGAATTGTGCTCTTCTGTTCAAGTTTCACCAACTCATGGTCAAAAACTATCGGAATATGCCATACCATGGTCTTCCATTGCTCTGCAGGAAACAATTGGTCAAGGCATGCAAGAAAGCACCTTGGTCTATATCTTTATGTTGATATTTTTAGGTGAATTTGGTATTGTATATCGAGCTTTGTTGTCAATGGAAAATGGAGCCCCACAACCAGTGGCTGTTAAGACATTAAAAGGTATAGATCCCAGTATTCATTGCCATTTAAATACCTTATATTATTACTTCAATAGGATCGTTTACTCAAAACGATGTAGAGTCAATAGTTGATGAGTGCATTCGAATGATGTCTTTTGATAATGTGAACGTCCTTCACCTCATTGGTGTCTGCATTGACATGGGACCTGCTCCATATATTGTAATGCCTTTTATGGCAAAAGGAAGCTTGCTCTCCTATCTGAAAAAAGAGAGGCATAATCTCACAGTCGCTGAATCCAGTGATGATGACATTGTTCTTGACGTTAGGAAGAAGCTCGTCTCCATTTGTCTTCAAGTAGCTAAAGGAATGTGCTATTTGGCTTCACATAACTTCATTCATCGTGATCTTGCTTCTAGGAATTGCATGTGAGTTTTACAAGTTCATAAATTCTAATTTTTGTTCCATGTAGGATAGATGATCACGGGATCATCAAAGTTGCTGATTTTGGTCTCACTGAGGAAGTGTATGCAAACAATTACTTTAAGCAACTGAAAGACAACAATGCATCTGTCAAACTCCCCATTAAATGGATGGCACTGGAAAGCCTTCATGATGGACTCTTCTCAGAAAAATCAGATGTTGTAAGCATTTAAAAATAAAGCATAGACTCAACTATGCAACTATTTATGACTAAATATATAAGACAAACTGAAGGCAAATATGTAGCTTTTTGTATTTTTATTTTATTTCTTATGCATGATCACAGTTTTTGCAGTGTATAGTTGCATTTTCAACTATGCAGCTATTTATTACTTCATATAATTATGAAGCTATTTTTGTTTTTCTTTATTTTATTTTTATGCATGATCACAGTGGTCCTATGGTGTACTTTGTTGGGAGGTTTTCAGCCTTGGGAGGACTCCATACCCTGGCCTGGATCCTGCAGGAGTTGTAGACCTGCTTGACACAGGAGGGAGACTGCAGTGTCCTCACAATACAGCCTGCTCACAAGAAATGTAAAAATAATATTAAATTAGTTAAATCTAACTTTGCCTTTGTACCCATAGTTATATGCTAATGCTTTCTTGCTGGTATGAACTAGTGTCTGATAGACCTTTGTTCAGTGAGTTGGTGGCATCACTTGATGGTATAATAATGCCATTGGCTAACTATCTGGACTTTACTGACTGTCAGTGACTTATATACTTTTACACTTGCAGTGCATGCTAAATGAGTGTGGCAATAAAATCATCATTAATTTTATTTATACAATTTTAAATAATCTTATTATTAAGAATCAATAACAACTACATGTCTAAAATGTAAAAATTATTACCCATAATATCTGAGGAGTTATACGATAGGCCTGTCATCATTAGTAGTAGAAGTCTCTTCTCCCTGGACCCAAGATTGGAGCATAGAGACAAGAGAGCTTCCCAGTAGTATCTGTGTAGGATGATAAATGAGAAGGGGAAGAGTGAAAGAACTTAAATCAGGCGAATCAACAAATACTATCTTTAATATTGGAATACCTGCAAAAGAAGCAGAGAGAAAGAGAAAGAAGGAGAGGAAAAAAATGGTACTACTGATTAATAATTAAGCATACCAAGTGTGAGAGATTTGTGTGTTGAACAGAAAAAGACAGCAATCCTATCCTTACGATTGAAATCACTGACACTATTAAGAACAAAAAACAAAGTATTGCTATAGCTTGAGCTCAAGGTGGTAAAAAGAATGCAAAACTTGTCGAAATCTTACAATGAAGAAAGGAAAGCAGCTAAACCGACAAGTAGTAACTGTGTTAAGACAACTAGAGACAATAGAGGGAGAAGATTTTGTTTAACTTTTTAACTATTATACTGACCAAGTATGGCAACAGATACGACACTCCTAATAGAAAAATCACTATCAGTTTCTAAATAATAGTAATAAATAAAATAAATAATCAATTAATAATTATTATGCACTAACTCTTAAATGTGTCACAAAATGTTGTGTAGATTATCAGTAGTAAAATGCAACTAATTGAAAAAGAAAATATCAAATATTAAACTCACTTCTCTCAGCCTCAAAATACCTGCTAATAGTACCAAAAGGAGGCTTCTTCTCTTCAAGCCAATTCTTAACATAATTTCTTGAAATCTAGTAATAATGATGATGATGATAATCCCACAAAGCATGCTCAGTGAGCTAAAAAGCATGCTGAAAAACTGGCATAAGGAGTGACTTTAAAAATTCATAAAAAATCCAAATTTGATCGGAATCGACTCAAACTTTCTACACAACATAAGAACATGCATATGTATCAGATAAAACTATAAAAATGGAGAAATCTCTACTTTTCATTTGTGGCAAAATTTGGCCCGAGACCATGTACTATAGTACAGGGACTTTTACCCGATTTTGGAGCAACTTTAAAAAATCGTAAAAAATTCAGGTTTGATCAGAATCAGCTTAAACTTTCTACACAACATAAGAACATGTATATGTATCAGATAAAAGTATAAAAATGGAGAATTCTCTACTTTTCATTTTTGGCAAAATTTGGCCCGAGACCATGTACTATAGTACAGGGACTTTTACCCAATTTTGGAGCAACTTAAAAAAATTCGTAAAAAATTTAGGTTTGATCAGAATCAGTTCAAACTTTCTACACAACATAAGAACATGTATATGTATCAGATAAAATTATAAAAGTGAAGAATTCTTTTCTTTCCAATTTTGGCAAAATTTGGCCCCAGACCATGTACTACAGTACAGGGACTTCATGTAATTGTACATCACATACCTGTCCTAATATTAATGGAACTAGAACAGTCATCGACAATTTAGTAAATATTGACAAGAATGGGACAGAAGAAGAAGTACCTACCTAATGCATTATATTATAAATGCAATAATAATAAAAATTATTATTATTATACTTACAAATATTAATAATAGTATTGGTGTTACGACAATCCCAATAAAGCTTCCAGCAGCAGAGTTAAAAATAGCAGCTGCCTATGAAATACTAATGACACACCTTTTAAAAACAGTTATAAATACTTCGTTGCCACCCACGGCTTTAGTTAAAATAACAGCAGACGATACAGGAGGAGGCATGCATCCGACTACCTGTAACCTAATGGGCGTGGTCGTCAGTGGGTGTGGCTAACAATGACAATTATTAATGGATGTACCCTTTCAGATATACAGGGCTCATAATGTGTATTGGCTCCAGAATGTGTGTCAATATGAATATTAGGACCGGTATGAAGAGCAATGTAAAAGACTGGATGAACAAGTGTAATCTAACCTGACCCAGGGCACGCTTTAACTCCTAAGAAATATTTATAAATAAAACATTATTTTAAATAATAATTGCAACCTCAGATTTTAATGATAGACCACTGTTGAAGAATATAAGGGACACAGCAATGTATTTGACAGTGTATTCTGGCCTAAGAGGACCTGTAAATATTATAATAAATTTTAAATTAAAATGCATTTTATCTTTAGTTTCTTACCGTGTTTGGCTCCAAGAGGAGGGTATATTTTTGCAAAAGCAATAACTATCACTATACTGAGGAGAAACCATCTCTTCTTGATCTCCTCAACAAGAGAGAAACGGGGAACTGCTGAATGCTTTGGAGATTCCGCCATTTTAATAATGTGGGTGTAGATTTAAATGTATAATCCTCATAAATGTTTTTTTTTAATTGCCAAAAATGCAGCCACTAAAATAGTACAATAATGATAATAATAATAATAATAATAATAATAATAATAATAATAATAAACACATCATTTTAACGTATATATAAGTTGGACATGTATACAAAGAGACATAAACAAAGCTCATACAAGATAATAGACAATAAAATGAATCATAACAATAATAATAATAGATACACGTTCATTATTTTGATAAAACAGCAACATTAAGAGAGAGAGGCTATAGTTAAGCAGGAGTTTCATAATAAACAATCTCGTCGTGATCTTCTTCATTATGTTTAGACCAACGAACAGCCATTGGGATTGGGCTAACGCTACTATTAAAAGAAGAGAGAGAAGGAACTAGAGAAGGGGTTAAAGAAACATAAGAATGTTGGGAGGCATTGGGCTGGAGTCTTGGTATGGCACGTTCACAGTCCTCCAGTGTAACTTTACGGTAAGGCTTACAGCAGTGCCTTCTATTGAACAGATCACTAGAGAAGAAACATCAAAGAATATACATGCACAGTGCTAACAATTCTACTACTTATATATTATGGTAATAATCTTTTCAATTCTCTCTTTTCTCCCATCTTTATTCAATAATTAATCTTTTATGTCTTTTCTTAACCCTCTCTCTCCTCTCTCTTTCTCTCTCTCTCACACACACACTTACACTTTAAGCAGTAGTGAACTAGCAACAACAGTAACAGAGGAAAATGACATTGCCAGACTTGCCATCCAAGGCTCCAATACAATCCCTATTGGGACAAACATCCCAGCTGCTAAAGGGAGCCCTATCACATTGTATATGACCGCCCAGAAGAAGTTTAACTTAATGCGATGCACAGTCCTTTTTGAGAGCTTAATGGCTGCAATGACATCAATTAGATTGTTCTAGAAAAAAGATCAACTTATATAATAGTTGCTATTATTCATTTTTACTTTAACTAGTACAATATCAGCTGCTTCAACAGCTACGTCAGTTCCAGTACCAATAGCAATACCAACGTCTGCTTGAGCTAATGCTGGAGAGTCATTTATACCATCACCAACCATAGCAACCTGAGAGAGAGAGAAGAGAGATGGTAATAGTAAGAGTAAAGGAGGCTTGGTACCTACCCTATATCCAGCTGCTTGTAATTCCGATACTTTGTTCTTCTTATGAGAAGGAAGTACTTCAGCAAATATCTCACTGTTCCTAATACCAACCTATAAGTAATAATAATAAAATAATAAATAATAAATAATAAAAATAATAACTATCATACTTCATCAGCAATAGCTTGTGCAGTCCTCCTATTATCACCAGTTAACAGTAAGACTCTTAGTCCCATCCTTTGCAGTGTATACACAGCCACTGATGCTTCTGGCTTTACACTATCAGAGATACACACTTGACCAAGCAAGAGGCCTACAGTACATTGTAATGGAGGATGAAATAATAGTAGAGAGAGAGAGAGAGGTACATGTACATGCATTATGTAAATTGTAGAGCAACAAAAAATGAGCAGTATAGGATAATAGGAGCTCATATGTTAATATTGCATATGGTGACTCCACAATTGCAATGTAGTAACTGGCAGTTTTATATTGGGTATTTTGCAACCATCTGTCATTGAGGAGAGCCACCAATTGCCAAAGAATATACTGTACTAAAGGACTCTCTCTACTGTTTCTATTACCATTAACAGCGACTAGCACTACAGTCTGTCCATTCTCTTCGTAGCTAACGATCTCTTCTTCGACTTGGGGGCTGGATATGTCAATGTGATTGTCTCTCATCCAAGATCTGTTACCAATAAATACCTATACAAATAAACAACAATAAACAAACAAGAATAAACAAACAACAACAACAATACTCATGAAAATAGCACAAGTTAAATTACAGTACATAAACAAACAAAGAGCTCATTCAGTATTGTATAACTAGATGTGATACATTATTTACTTATGTATTTCTAATATTAAATTAGGGCTCATGCATTGCACAAGCCCTTCCAAAAAATTGCTCAAGTTTATGATTTGCCATTAGCTCACACAAACATACATACATACATACCATGCTGCTACCTCAGTCAGTGGATATGGAGCTTCTTATAAATGCAAGCAACATGCTCAGGCAATCGTGGTTGTCTAGTTTATGCTAAATAATGACATTCATTATACTTAATATTCATAATAAATAAACACTCATCACCAACTTATAAAACCAGATGATGACTATAATTTAAGCTGTTTGCTGAAACCCTTACCCCCCAAAATAACCTCCTATAACTATTGTGATACAAGTGTATGTTACCAGTACAGTAAAAAATCTGGTAGTGCTTTTACTTTGTATTCTTCATTGGTACCAATGGATTTAGAAGCATTTACAATATCTTTCCTCTTTAGTCCTTTAATGATGTTCTCATCTTTATTCTCTCCTCCTTTGCCTCCTTCACCTGCCAGTGAGGAGACAGTACAAGAAAGACCCTTCCCTGGGACAGCTTGGTAATCGACACAAGAACCACCAAAAGAATCACCAAGAATCTGGAGAGAGAGAGAGAGAGAGAGAGAGAGAGAGGGAGAGAGTAAGAGAAAAAAGGCATTATATTTTCTTACTTCTTTAGCGTATGCAGTGATTGCTTCTCCCAGTGGATGTTCACTGTTGCTCTCAGCCACACCCACTATTGATAAAAACCGACTGAACGAGCAGACAGTGGGTGTGGTGTATAGCACAATATGAGATACAGCTGGTTTCCCGTGAGTTAGGGTACCGGTTTTATCAAAAATAACAGCTTTAACCTAGAAGGTTTTAATTAAAATCAACGTTAATAGGACAAAAATTATAATAATTTTTCAAACCAATACATGTACATACTTTGTGTGTTGTTTCTAGTGGTTCCCCACCCTTTATAAGAATCCCATTACTAGCTCCGATTCCAGTACCAACCATAACGGCAGTGGGTGTGGCTAGGCCAAGAGCACACGGACAGGCTATTAGGAGAACAGCGAGGGCGTGTGTGAAGGCGTGGCTAATATCGTAGCAGTTGGAGGAGTCATGGTCAGACTCCGTGTCATTGGAATCACAATGATCCTAATTATTACATTCATAATAATTTAATAATAAAATAAGTACATGTTAATAGTACATGTACATGCACCTCTCTCACTGACACAACATACATGTACATGTACATGTACATGCATAATGATTAATGAAACTCAAAATGGAATTAAAGCAGGGATTATGCAAGAGCACTTTCCCATTCAAAAATTTTCTAAACATCTTTTTTTATTTTAGTCAACAGTTACATGATTCACAAGCCCTTTATAAATGCATGCAACATGACAAGGCTATCGTGGGTTGCCAAACTAATGCTAATGATATTCATTAGCACATCCTGTGTTAACAGTGCTGCACTTACATGGGCTCCAGAGTGGTCTCTCACTTGATAAGCAATCAACCAGCAGACAAAAGTAATGAAAGATAGGATTAGAATGAGAGGCACAAAGTAACCAGCAATCCTGTCAGCTATACGCTGTATAGGAGCCTGAGAGAGGGAGGAAGGGAGAGAGAGAAATAGAGAGGGGGGAAGAAGAGTGAAAAGCACAAAATTAAATTAATCCTCTCTCTCTCTTGCTCTTACTTTTGAAGTCTGGGCTTCTTCGACAAGTCTGACAATTTGAGACAGCATGGCGTCAGACCCAATGTGAGTGGCTTTAATCAAAAGGACACCATTTTGATTCACCGAACCGCCAATCACTGAATCACCTAAAAGGAGAACAGACATTATAAAAACTCTCTCCATCTTTCTCCATCATCTCTCTATCTCTATAATATAAATACTGTATGCATAATAGATTTATATGTACCAGGCTTTTTTGATACGGGCATTGATTCACCAGTAATTAGAGACTCATCAGTTTTTGATTGGCCTTCAAGAACAATGGCATCTACTGGGACCTTTTCTCCTGGTCTCACCTATAAAGTTATATATGGTAACACTGTTCTATATTTAGTAACAAATGACATATACAAAATGGTACTATTAATAGTAACTCACTCTAATTTTATCTCCTCTCTGCACTAGCTCTACCGGTATCATCTCCTCGCTAGTTATTAATAGTTATAATTATTAATTCATTAATGAAATACTTACACTTCATCGGTGGGCGGGTAAGTGGGTGTGGTCACTAATCTAGCCTCAGTTGCTTGCAATGACATTAATTTTGCGAGCGCTTCGGACGTCTTACCCTAAAAAACCTCATTAATTAGATAATTATGGGATCCTTACCTTCGCAATGTATTCAAGCCAGCGTCCCAAGGATACAAACATCAATAGCATGGGTGGAGTTTCAAAAAAGGTCTTCATGTGCTTTCCAGTCACAAAAGCAGAGACAAAAACAATAATAACCTGAAGAGAAGAGAATAAGAGAGAGAACAGACAGTGAGATGATGTCTTTACAAATGTACATGAAGTTTCCAGTGAGTTATGGCAGTTTTAAAAATATACCAATTTCTGAGAATTTCCCTGTACTATAGCCCAGGTTTTTTTCCAAAAAATGGCCCAAAAATGACTCCCAATTTTTATTACATTTTCTAATACATATTGATGTCCTTATGCTGTGTAGAAAGTTCGAGCTGATTCCGACTTCAACTTTTCAAGTTATGGCCATTTGAAGAAATGGGCCAAAATCTGAAAAGTTCCCTGTACTATAGCCCATGGTTTTTCCAAAAAATGGCCCCAAAATGACCCCCAATTTTTACTAAATTTTCTAATACATATTGATGTCCTTATGCTATGTAGAAAATTTGAGTCAATTCTGACCTCAATTTTTAAAGTTATGGCCATTCAAAAAATAAACCAAAATATGGCTGATACCATTATGTACACAATACATGTACATGTAAAGGAGTAACAGCATGTCCCTGAACTTACAGAGTAAACGAAGGCTATGGTGGTAGCCAGTGCTATTAGTACGTCCATGTTAGCTGAACGATGCTTCAGTGATTTGTAGGAAGACACATAAAACTGATAGCCACCAAAAATCTAAAAAAAATTAAAAAGACCATGTACATGTATTGATACTCATATAGTGTGCATTACTTGAATTATGGTTGCTAGTGTGAATAGGATAACCTCTTGAAGAGTAACTCCACCGTATATCTTAGGCCAGTTAACCAAGTCTTTATCGAAAACGTTAGCAAAAGCAACAATGACGGTTGGTATACCGAGAATAAGAGAAAGAAGGAAAGTACACTTCCACCTAATGAAAGAAGAGAGAAATGAAAACAGTGTAACTTTAATTTCTACCTTCTAATTTCTGATGAGTGGTTAACCCCAGTACCATCCTTTGATGCTAGCTGTGCCCTAAAACCAAGTTTCTACAAAAATGACGATTAATTAAAAGAGTCCCCACCCACCAATAATTAATTCCTATACCTTTATTATATCGATGATGTCACGGGGTCCTATAAAAGCCGGATCAAACTCGACGTGGGCGCGGTTTGTTGTCAAGGCAACCCTTGCCTTCTCAATCCCGTCGGTCGCATGAAGTGTCCTCTCGATGAGATGAACACAAGAAGAACAAGTCATACCAGTCACCTACACATAATGGAAGATATGACCAACATAGTAATGTTATATGTACATTTTTATGTACATTTATATACATGTACATGTACTAGTGTTGATTTAGATGATGAATGTGGGCACAATAGCTACAATAAAAACTAAAACTAAAACCCATTTAGCGAGGTGCTTCTTTTACAAAAACTAACAATATTTTAAGTACATTTACCTCAAGATCAACAGTACCAGATTCAAGCCCCTCTCCCTGAGAGAGTAACTGTGCGTTGTATCCCAGACCAAGTATAGCTGATGATATCTTATCGGGATCAGTCACATTCGGATCATACGAGACATCTGCCTTTTCAGCCAACAGAGCAACAGTAGCTGAGTATACACCTTTGGAATGAGAGAAAGAGATGCCAAATTAAAGTGAAAATAGTACAAATCACATTACATGTACATGTACATGTACGTCTTTGTGCTACTCATTACCAGGTTTGCTTGCCAAGTTCCGCTCAATTTTGCTGACACATGAAGAACATGTCATTCCAGTGATCTTGTACTGGGCTTTCTTAGACTCCGGACTAGAGGCTCTCTTTAGGGCGTGTCCAGAGGCGTGGTCTCTGTAAGGAGGGAGGCTGCTGTCGCTTAATATGACAATCTCGTTCTCTTTCTAAAAAAATAGAAAAATTATTATCAATTTAAAAAAATAATCTCTTACTCTTTTCGCTTTCTTTCTTTGAGGTACTTTGCTGTCATAGTAACTAGCCCCACCCACTCTTCCCTCGGGCATGTCTGTCACTTTAAATTTCGAGTTGAGTCCCTCTATCACTTCCCTGAGGTCGTCAACGGCCACCAGTTTACCGTTGTACTGGACCGTGGCTTCTTCATCGGAGAGTGAGACGTGGGCACTGACCACGCCTATGTGAGAGGTGAGAGCAGCTGTGATATTAGAAACACAGGAATTACAAGACATCCCTTTAATCCGTATGTAAACGAGTTTGATGGGTTCTTCGTCCGAGGGAGAGAATGAAACACGTCCATCGTCAATGACTACATTTGGCTCTAGTACGTTTGGTTCTAAAATGGCCGGGGGAGAAGAGGGAGGAGACTGAGGGGGAATAGGAGAAAGAGGAGAAGGGGGACGTTGTGGGTGTGACCATTTCACTTCAGCATCAAACCCCATGTCGTATACAGCTTTGGCAATATCACTAGGTGTGGTTTGAGAGGAATCGAATTCGACAAAAGCTTCTTTATGATGAAGACAGACAATAGCTCCAGACACACCTGGTTGTCCCGGGAGTGTATTCTGAATGAGTTTAACACAAGATTGACATGTCATGCCTTCGACTGAGAGTAGGATCACATGACTGGTGGAGAAAGAGAGAGGAGATGAGGTCTTTAGAACGATCTCTTTGTCTTGATGGTGTTTTAAAATGGCGTCATTTAAAGAGGTAGAGCCCTCGGGAGACGTTGATATCACTCTTTCCTCTGGCCCTATCAGTCGAGCAGAGGAAGAGAGAGCTGGAGGAAATCCTTCAGAGCAATAGATACAAACTTCGAGGGATGAAGAGCCAGCCATTGTTTTTTTTTTGAGATAATTTTTAGCTGAGAGTGAATGGGTGTGGCTCTAATCTATTTGCCACGCCCATCTGGATTAGGTCTAGGTGTGGCTACTGGTTATTAAAGAAAAAATGGCGACTTCTTCCAAAGCTCGTTCACAGCCTTCCCTTCCCTCGGCAGAGTATATACTCTCTCCTTCAGGTCGTAGTGATATAATGAGGCCCACACTCATCAAGTACGGGGACAGAATATTCAGAAAAACGACTGGTCGCTCTGTTCCCATTCCTCCTTCAGGAGCACCCTCACGTCAGTGGCCTCTAGAAGAAGATGAAATGGAGGAAGACGAGCCTAAATGCTCAGCAGAAAAAGAAGAAGAGGAAAGAGAGCTTGTTGGTTCTAGGAAGTTACGCAGTGGAGAGTATGAGCTCTGTCTCCCTACTCCGCCTGTTTTCTTTAAGTATATAATTGGACGAGAGGGTAATACAAGACGTGGGATTGAAAGGGACACAAAGTGTAAACTTGTCATACCAAGGCAAGGTCAATCGGGGCCTCTGGTACTCATAGCTCCTAATAAAAGGTCTCTTATATCAGCGAAACAAAGGATTGATGTCATAGTTTGGTCTAATAGAGGCAAAGAGGGTATCACTCATTTCTTATGTATTGATCTCAATTCAAGTGATATAATGACTAAATTTGAAGATTTCATGAAAGAAGTTAAAGCATTGGTACCATCTATCGACGAAGAGCTCTTTCAGAAACCAATCAAGCTTCACATAACCTTGCCTGTATTCTATCTATTCACCAAAGAAGAAGAGACAATGGCTGTGCAAGAGATACATAAGATCCTACCTAAGGCAATCGATAAGCTTGGGACATCACCAGTCACTATATCTCTGCAAGGTTTAGAGTGCATGAATGATGATTACTCATCAGTTAATGTCCTGTATGCTAAAGTGAAGCTAACTGACAGCTCCTCAAGGCTCCAGGAATTTGCTGATACTTTACAACAAGAGTTAGCACTCTCTCTGCCTGATCACATACAAGTCAGAGAAGGAAGGAGTGGAATTAAGTTGCATGCAACTGTAATGAACTCAAGCTTCAAAGATGCACCTCCTGTTTCTCATTCTAATAATAGGAGAGGATATTACAAGAAGGAGAGGTTTGATGCTAGTGAGATAATGAAGCATTTGTCTCAGTTTGAGTTTGGGTGTCTGCCACTGTCAGAGATACGTTTGTTAAATAGAGGAGAAAAAGATCCTAGCACTGGATTGTATAAGTGTACTGAAACATTTAAACTAATACAATAAAATCACTGAAAAACTATTGTGTTGTTGTAAAAAAGTAAAAACTATTCTCAGTAATATTAGTTCAATGTATATCAAAGTCAAAATAACTGCTTCTAGTCTAAACATAAAAAGATCCTGATAGCCAAGGCTTAGTTGTAGAAGTGGCATTGATGCTAATTCTAAAATATAGTGTGTCATCTTTAAGATATGTGCAGGTACTGCTTTGGTGTGTATCTAACTCTATATGGGACACAAATAAATCAATTCCACAACCACTTTCACTATCTCTTTGTCTGGCAAATTCTGGTATTGTTTCGTCATAGTAATAGGTATGTACTACATGATTTTCATCATCAAGTTGGTTGAGCAATTCTATAGTTACATACCCTACAAAGGGCCACTCTAGTGTGTCATCATTATCTCCTGTAACGAACTGAGTAAAGCAAGAAACATAGCCAAGACTCTTTTTGCTGTGTCCATTAGTGTAGACTACTAGTTTGACCTTGTAACCGCCTGGTGACGTATAAAATGAAGAACTTTTCCACGTTTCACTGTTATTTCTCTTGTGTTCAAATTGAGTCACTTTAAAGACTTTTATGTATGTCTTTCGTTTTGTCTGTAGTGCTTTGATGTCACTTTTAATGCATTCAACCTCAGCATTCACCAATTTCTTAATTGAATTAGTACTTGGAGTCTTGATAGCTTTGATGTCTGATTTTAATATACTTATATCCTCTTGAAGAGATTTGACTTTCTCCACTGCCAACCGGAGGTGTTCATTTACCGATTCCTTGTTGTGTATATCTTGCTCTTCACGTTTCATTTCCTTCTTGCACCCCACATTACTATACTCACATGAGACAATAGTTTTACAGCAGATTGTAATGTGACCTTCTAATGCACGTCGTGGTATCATTTGATCACATTCATCATTGCAACACTTCACAGGATATTTAAGGCAACTTTCAAGATGAACTCCTTCTATATACCCGTAACTGCCCTCCTCTTTACAATACTGACAAACCACAAGGCGTTTGACACAACTATCCGTTAAATGCAACTCGAGTAGCTGTCTCTGTACCTTTTCCCCACATCTATTGGTGCAATCAAGCAACTGATAAGGACACGTATTGAGATGAGCTTCAATATCACTTATCACTCCTACCCATTCACACTCACCAGGACAATAAACTATTAAAGATTTTATCTCTCGATCAGCTCTTCCGTCCTTAAAATAATTGCCTGTCAATGGTTGACGACACGTTGGACAGTTAAAGTTTCCTTCTCCTTTTTCTTTTAGCTGTAAAAGGCAGCTGTGACAGTAGATATTGAAACAGCAAGTAACTTGTTGAGGATCTCTTGCTGGCAAAGTGCAGATGTAGCAAACAAATTTATTAGGAGGATCCCCATCAACGAAAACATAACTGTATCCACCATGAGCAGCATCACTAGATTCAGAGAAAGATGAAGATGTTGCCATTTTATTTAAGACTTCAGAATCAGAGGTGTGGCCTTGTCTTGTAGGCGTGGTTAAAATGGCGGAAGGTGGTAAAGGTGAAGATGGCCTTTCAAAGAAAGAATTGGAGCCTTTATTGCAGCCAAATGTAGTAGCAGCTTTCCTCTCTGGAGTGGTGCTAGCTAATTTCAACAAGAATCTCCTCCTAGGGTTCACCATGGGCGGTATAGCAGGAGTTTACTTACAACAAACATTTCCATCACAGTTTCCTAATGTTAAGGAATACTGGGAGAAACTAAAGAAGCAATGGAAGAACACATCATCATCATCTAATAAATAATTAATTAGTTGACAATGGTACTAAAATAGTTTGACGTTATTTTTGTTTTAAAATTATATCAAAGTGTAATCATTTCAAACAAGAATAAGATGTATACATGTATAGAAAGGCAAAAATAAGAAACTTTATAAAAATAATTAGAATACGCTACATAATAAGTTAGAAAATAACTTTAATGCATCCTTCTTGGACGCTTCAACAAAATAGGTTTATCTGGAACTATTCCATCAATTACTAATGGATGCTCTTCGGGCGGATCCATTTCATCATTATAACCAGTATGAAAATGTATTGTTGGGAAAATCTCATTTTGCAACTTCCAAACTTTTGGTTGGAGCTCAAGAGTATCAATTTCCTTCTTTTCAATCTGTATGATATTTGATATTTAACATAGTTTAATATTAATTATTCATACATTATTTGTTCAACTTACGGTTTGAGGGATTTCTCCTATAGGAGTTACAGTCCATCCTTTAGTTTCAATAATGTCACGACAATTGCTTAATTTAACAGCTTGCTCATCACCATCTGGTACAGTAGCAAAACGAAACTGATACAAATAATCAGAATCAATTGATAGTCTTTGCTGAGAGAACTATGTAAGGAGTAATTGTAAAATATATGTACATGTATGTAAACTTGTAAAGGTCATTGATTCTACCTTTAAATGAGGTTTAAGGTTTTTAAAGAATGTAATATCAAAATTCTCTTGTAATTGTTGCACTAAAGCTGTATATTTCATTAACTCCCTATCAAAAAGGATATATATTATAGAAAAATAGCATCAAGCAAGCTTACAATGGTCCTTTATATAATATACACAAAAAACAGCTTTCTTTCCGTGTGATCGATCCAGAAGTTTCACCAGGCCAAAACACACCTTCATTGCTCACTGGAGAAAATGGTAGCACCCTATTCATTATATCAAGTGTGGCAGTAGCAAAGCAAAGATCCTTTGCTATTGACACATCATTGACATCAACACAGTGGTCTAGTGTAATGGTTGCAGACTCCTTTATCCCTACTGGTAATTTGATGTCATACATGGCACTGACAAGAGTGTAGCCTTCTGGTAGAGCAATAGGACCAGAGAATATAGTGTGAACTGTGATAAAACTATTGGCTGGTGCAAGTGGAATGTGTATTTTATAACCATATTCAATTCCATTACAAAAAGCAATCTGGCCTCCAGTAATTTCATGCTTCTTTGCATCAATCTTGATGCACATACCTATAAACTTCAATTAAAGTCACAACATGTAAATTTCATAATACCTTTAAGCATTTCTTCAGCTTGACTAATCAGCCATTTGATGACTTTGTTATTGTCAGCCCTCCCAGACTTGTCTTTATTTGACTTGTGTATATTATAGCTGTGATAAGCAATGAAACCTACATCTAATGGAACTGTCACTGCTAATGAGACTCCAGCTAATACCATCCCAGCAACACGTCCACCAGTACGCAGAGCCAATGCAGCACCTTCAACTGCACCTTCTGTTGCAATTGCAACACCAGCACCAATACGACTAGCATCAGCAATGCCCATGGCACTCCCAGCAGCAGCAAAACCAGCAAATTGTGAATAAGGAGATGTATATTTATTTGCATGCACTTCCTTCTCATGCTTCTTAGCAACTTCATTGATGGTTAAGCTAAGCTGTTGATCGAAGACAATGTGCTCTTGAGCATACTTTAATCGCTTGTTAGCTAGCACTTTAGAAACTATAAAAGCACCAATGCCACCAGCAGAGGCCAATGCTCCAACAGCACCACCAGCTACAGATACTCCAATTGAAGCACCAAATGTAAATGGAGCTAGTGCTATACCAGTAATAGTTAAACTCCCTCCTATGACTGCGCCTGCAACTGAAGTAGCTATTCTGGCTAATCTCTCATTCCTAACAATGGACATAACTTCATCTTTATTCTTCAATATTACATCAACTGTTTCAGTTCGTATGGGATACCATAGTGAGCGAAGAAGCAACAGATGATCACCAAGACAAATGTTTCTATAAAGAATTAATAATTAATGCCTGTACATAATCATTAATACAAAAAGTTACTTTAATTTATCAATAATGAGCTTGTCAGCAATGTTGCCATTCTCCTTAGTTTTTGAACCATTCATTTCTTGTATTGTTGCAAAAATATCTTGAATACTCTTTTGATTAAAACATTGCGCCAAAGTTTCAACAGCAAAGGAGAAGTCTGGATCATTGTGTGCAATAGCGAGAGCAAGTGAATTGCTAGGGTAATCGGGCAAAGTTGGCTGACTTTTGTTTTCATCATCAAGGTAAGCTATATCAAAGAAAAAGACTTTCGAGATTTCTGACAGTGGCGACTGATCATCATAAAAATACTGAAATATTTTTTCAAAAGGCACAACTGTATTGTTGGCATCATAAAGCTGAGGGGTCATCCCTTTACTGAGAAATATCAGAGCAAACATCGAAAGCTGAGAATGATCAACATCATTCTTGAATGCACGAAGAAAATTATCGATTGTGGCAGAGCTGAGATTGTTCAAATAAAGGACACAAAACCCAGAACCTTCTAACACTTCATGAAGAGCTTTTGCTTGCTCATTCAATTTTCTAGTACCATCCTCTTCTATCTTTGCTTCTCCACAATTATCAATAATTATAGCAAAACGAATGCCTACAAATAAGACACAGTAAAAATAGTGTTTTATTCCTACATTGACTGATTTACTATTTATGTTCCTTCTATCTGTAACAGTTCTTTCCTGATCCTTTTTGACTGGTACCTCTGTCATCCTTAGTAAATGAACCGGCTGTAACTACATGTAGCTTGGACAATAACGTATGCATGCCCCTGATCTAATGCTTTTTATAAGATAATGCTAATGGAAAAAGGGCATGCCCCAACTTCTCAGGAAAAGTTTTAAACAAAATTGTTAGTTTAGTTTCCATTATGAGATACAACAATAATAGCTGTTACTTTTCCAACCTATATTACCTACTATGGAGTTTTCATAACACTTGACCACTCACTTTTCTTTCTCTTCTACATGTATATCACTGATAACAATTGTGACCATGCATGGAGTCACTTCATGTTAGCTTATTCCTACTACTTAGGGTAAACGCTATCTAGAAGTTGCTTCCTTCAGTATACACATTCCTTCAATATAACATTAATTAAAGGTAGTTGCGGTGATGAAAAATAGTCAAGTTCTTGTGGGCTCTTTATTATTTCACTTATTTTCCTCAAAAAATTGCAATATATTGTCAATATTGCATTCATCCAATAGTGATAACAATTGTGGAACTTTCTGCTGAACATTAACACCCTAACAGAGAGAGATGATGGAAAGTTATGTATACTCATTTACTTTAAAAGCAGCTCTATCCATAAATAGATCAGTAATAAGTGCTAGAGTAAACAAAAAAAAAATAATGTCATCTCTTTCCATTTCTCTCTCCTTACCATAATATCTATCAATCATTGCTGGTTGTCTCTTTATTTCTTCCTGCATTAATGAAGCATTCTCTAAATACAAAAAGGACAAATGTACATTGTATAATTAACAATAATTACAGGGTCTTACCTAGTATGTACTGGCACTGTGGTGAGAGAAAGCTCACGTCTTTCTCATGAACTTTAAGCTCTTGAAGTGCTTCAATCAGTTGAACGTTTTTAGCTAACATGAGCTGTTCCTCTAGCCTTGGATGAATGAGCTTGATCATGTGAGCAGCACTGTCATCAGTTATACCTGTAGGAAAAAAGAAAAGACAGAGAGAGGGGGGGGGGAGCGAAAGTGTATGTAGGAGAGGATTAAAGGGTCCCTTACTGTGTGTTATTTTAATTGTTATATTCTTCTTAGTTGCTTCTTTGGAAAGGACTTCTTTCAATACTGATATAGTTGAGATATTGTCAGACTTGAAAACAGCCTCTTTCTGCCTATTGATGCAATAATATAAAAACTAATGATAATTTCCTTCACTGTATGTGCATAAAAAGTAATAAAAATTTAGAGGTCACTCAGAAAATTTTTGCTCAAGTATGAATCGACAAAAGCATACATGTAGGTTTTATAGTACAGGGAATTTTTGGGCAATTTTTTCAAACGGCCATAACTCAAAAATTTGAAGTCGGAATTGGCTCAAACTTTCTATATAGCATAAGGGTGTCAATATGTATCAAAAAATGTAATAAAAATTGGGGGTCATTTCAGGGCCATTTTTCAGAAAAAACCATGGGCTATAGTACAGGGAACTTTTCAAATTTTGGCCCATTTCTTCAAATGGCCATAACTTGAAAAGTTGAAGTTGGAATCAGCTCAAACTTTCTACATAGCATAAGGACATCAATATGCATCAGAAAATGCAATAAAAATTGGAGGTAATTTCGGAGCCATTTTTCGGAAAAACCATGGGCTATAGTACAGGGATTTTTTCAAAAATTTGCCAATTTTTTTAAATGGCCATAACTTGAAAAAATCAAAGTCAGAATCAGCTCAAACTTTCTACATAGCATAAGGACATAAAAAACGTAACATACTGTACATGGTAGATGATTGATCAAAACACCAGCTATGATGTACAATGTACATGTAATTATAATTATCTCAATATCTCATGCAGTCTCTTCCTACCTGTAAGTGCACTGTAACTGGGTCTGAGTAAAAGACGACTTAAACTGAAGCGTCACTGTCTCTCCATCAGGAGGACAGTTAGACACTCCAGGAAGACAGAAACTGATCCACGAGTGAATATCAGAAGTACTGAATGGGCCGAGGACCTCAAGAGTATTGCAAGGAAGTGATGAGTCAAAGGAGTGTGTCCTCTGGTGAAGTGATAATGGTTTAATGGGATAGGAGAGGAGCCGGGCAGAACAAGGCTCTAGTTTTGGTGTAACGTACACGTTCAGTGTACCATACTGACCCTCTATTGATCTAACCTGTACATGTACATGTACACGTATGTGTAGATATAGAGAAAGTAAAGTTTTAATATTTAAAAAATATTCTAAATTGTACCTTAACTTCCAAACGTGACGTATACATGCTGCAACGGAGAGTAGCTAAAAGATAGCTACCATTCTAAAAATAAATAAAAAATAAATATTTAAAACATAAAATAATTTATTAATATAATACTTTTGGGTCAGGTGGTGAGTAGCTGATTACAGCAGTGCTCTTCTCAATCTCCTGTATATCAACAGGAACATTGCACTGTAGCAGCAACATATCCAATGGAACCTGAGGACAATAAATAGAGGAAGTAAATACATTTGTACAAGCAGAAAAATAAAGAATAAATAATTAAATCAATGATACATGTAATATTGCATGATATAGTGAAGAGCATAATTGTAAAAAGATAAAAATAATACATAAAATAAATAATTGCTCATAAATACATGCATGCATGTATGTATACATGCATGTATATGTACAATATTGTATTCTTTTACTTGTGTTTCAATGCTTAGGGTGTACCAAGCCTCATCCTTATTAAGAGTAAACTGGTCATTAACTGGTAGCAATGGTAAAGCAGAGACCCCACCACTAGGGCCCCCCTCTCCCCCTCCTTTCATTATGGACTGGTATTTCACATAAGCACTGGATACTTTATCCTCCAAAGACTTGACTTCATTCCTATAGCAATTAATTCATAAACCACAGCATGAGATAATGAATTATGGTCATGCTACAAATATGTCTTTCATTTCTTTGACTGTGTGTGTGTGTTGCGTCTGTCTGCACACACACACACACACATGTACATGTACATGCATATCATTAATGTTCATGCACACATGAACAATTCAATTACATTAAAGTACATTACATGTACGTGTGCATGTGCATGTGTGATGTGATTCCATTCATATTAGAAGTGTATGCATGTATATACATGTACATATACACGTACATCATTATCATACTAATGATTGTTATTACTATAGTGTAAAGATAGTGCTTTTATGTATAATGTCAAGGCTGGCCACACTCAATTAAATACGGCACAACTTCTTGTGATAGATTAATTCATGCAACACTAACATATTGTGTACTGTAGTAATACGATAATTATAAGAATTTTCTAACCATTAATTCACGTGGATCATGTACATGTACATGACTGATTATATGCTTCAATCCCTATGCTACATTCTTTTAATATTTTTCTTTATATTTTTAATACTTCCTTGTTTTAATTTCTCCTTTCTACTGTACATGCATGTACTTTGTATATCTCGGTAATTTTCATTTTTTATAATCAACACGTCACATTTTTGACACCTGATTAAATTTTACCAAGTAGAGGCACACCTTAACACAAGTGTAAAAATACATGTATACATGTACATACGTAGTTTTTTAGTTACTTTAAAGTTTCTAATTTTGCAGCAACGTCCGGTGGGATTTGACCATGCCCCTTAGATTGGTTATCGGACGAGAGTGAGTGTATCTTTCCGCTGTAAGTGGAGACTAGTACCTCGGGAGTGGAGGGTGTGGTCACAAAACCACCGCAAACTGATGCAATGCTCTCACTAAACGTCTAAATAAAAAAATTAAATCAAAAATAAAAATTAAATTAAAAATAAAATTTAACATTAAAGTATACATGTAGTATAATCATTAATAATTATTTAAAATATCTGTTTGCTTTGTGAAGTATGTCAATGCATATTTACATTATATTCTATACACATTTTTACATCAAATTAACATCAGGTTAGATACACAAATTATGATTCTAACACAAACTTTACATAAATTTTTTCCCACTAACATCAAATTGGATTCATTATGTAAATGCATTAAAATTATACATTACAAAAATGCCTAAGGCACACTCACAATACAGCAACAAAATCCAATTAAAAGAGTGGGCGGGTTGACATCTAATTCATTCATGTAGACACAACACATACATGCATCATTAATACACTCCGTATTTATTATTTATATAATGTACATGTACATGTATGTGTGTACATTTGTAGTACTATATACTATCTGTTTACATGTGTGAATTGTATTCTTGGTTGGTTATTTTCATCTAGTGAGTATATCTCCATAACGCCATCAGATCTACCCAGGAGTATATCAGGAACACCAGTAGCAGTGACATCATGGACACCAATACTAGCAATACCTGGAGGAGAGAGAGGGGAGAGAGAGAGGGAGGGAGGGATCGAGAGAGGGAGAGAGAGAGAGAGAGAGAGAGAGAA